TCACCGATGGATGGCAAGTTAAAATCCCCCATGACCAAAAGTCTGGGGGTATCAACCACCACCTCTTTTGTCATGAGTCCAGAAACTCATTGTTTTCACATTTTCCTTAGAATCTGTAAAGTTTATTTTCCTAAGATTAAACTGTCTGCACTTAGAGAATGTGAATTACACTTGAGCACTGTAGTAACTATTTGGACACTTCAGGCATGACTAACTTCCACTTCATTGATTTCAGTGAGGGTGAAGTATGAGTAATTTTCTCTGAATCTTACCTCAATTAAAGAAACACAGACTATTTCTAATCTTGTTCTGTCCAAATACAAATGAATTCAAGTTTCTGTTTTTAATCTTTCCCCTTGAACTCGCTTGTCGTCTTCTAGATATAACAGTGCTATTTTCTCTTTAAAATACAGGTAGTCTTTGACATATGACCACAATTGAGCCCAAAATTTCTGCTGTTCAGTCAGTTTTGCCTCATTTTACAACCTTTCTTGCCACACAGTTGTTAAATGAATTACTGCAGTTGATAAATTAGTTAACTTGGTTGTTGAGTGAATCTGGCTTCCCCATTGACTTTGCTTGGCAGGGTAAGGATATTGCAAAATCTCCATTCCCACTCCACTCCAGGGGAAAGATACTGCAAAATCTCCATTCTCTCCCTCCTGGGGGAAGAATATTGCAAATCTCCATTCCCACCCCACTCTGGGGCCAGCCAGAGGTGGTATTTGCCAGTTCTCCGAACTGCTCAAAATTTCCACTACCGGTTCTCCAGAACCTGTCAGAACCTGCTGGATTTCACCCCTGCTAAGGTGGGACTAGAACTCGCCATCTCCCAGTGATTGGTCCAAAGTCATCCAGTTGGCTTTCATGGCTAAGGCAGGACCAGAACTCACCGTCTCCACTTTCTAGCTTAGTGCCTTAACCACAAGACCAAACTGGTACATAGTATGTTTCAAAGTCAGCACGATCACTGACTTGTGGAGCTCTGTTGATGGATGATATAAAGTACTGTCAAGTATTTGCAAGCCATTGGCACATGTATCATACAGACACTAGTGGAGGCAGAAAGTGCCCCCACCCCTATGTGGAGAGGAGGGGCTTACACTGAGTATAAAACCCCCTCTAACCTTTCCACCATGCTCTCTTTTTACGTTTGTTCTCCATGAGACAAGATCTTTGATAAGGGTAGTCACACACGCTGCGTGCCCCCTATCCTAATGGATATTAAGACAGCCTTTGTATATAGTTAATATGTTTTGTTATATGAATAAATACATTTATCACATTTATTCATGCATCTGCCTTTGGACTCTTCTATGCTCCTGGGTGTTTCTACGATCCCAGTTTCCACAAGTACTCATGAAGTCTACGATTCTGAGGTGAACTCCTTCCAAAACTGCTCCAGAAGACAGTTCTGTTATCACACAGGAACTTGGAATGAAACAGCTGTTTTTGGAATCCAATCTCTATCAAAAAGTTTTTAAATTATGGCAATTTGAAGATGTGTGGACTTTAAGCCCTAGAATTTCCTAGCCAGTTTGTCCTCATTTTGCATGCATTAGCTATGGGAAAACATGATAAGCTCTGATTTTTCTCTCCCAGTTTCAAAACCCCTTATTAATGATTATTGGTTGAAGAACTCCTTGCTTTTTAATGGGGTATTCAATTACTTCAAGAGATGGTAGACTAAAAAGCTTTGGGGATATTTAAAAACAATTGTATTTACTTCATTCAATTAATATTACTACTCATCTTATTTATGTGACTTTAGGTAGCTCACAAATTAAAACAGCCAAGACAACCTCAGAATAACAGAGTTGGAAGGGACCTTGTAGATCATCTAGTCCAATCCTACACTCAAGCAGGAGACCCTACACCAGTGGTCCCCAACCTTTTTATCGCCGCGGCCCGCTGAGCGCGCGCAGGGGTGGGGGCACAGCCCAGGAGCTTTTGCGCACGGCCCATTGCGCACGGCCCAGGAGCCTTTGCACTGCAGCGTTCATGTGGCCCGGTGCCAGGTACTCCACGGCCCGGCACCGGTCCGCAGACCGGGGGTTGGGGACCACTGCCCTACACCATTTCTGACAGATGGCAGTCCAGTCTCTTCTTGAAAGCTTCCAGTGATGAAGCTCCCACAAGGTCTGAATGCAAGCTGTTCCATTGGTTGATTGTTCTCACAGTCAGAAAATTTCTCCTTATTTCTAGATTGAATCCCTCCTTGATCAGTTTCCATCCATTATTCCTTGTCTGTCTTTCAGGTGCTTTGGAGAATAGCTTGACCCCCTCGTCTCTGTGGCAGCCCCTCAAATATTGGAACACAGCTATCATGTCTCCCCTGGACCTTCTCTTCACTAGATTAGCCATGCCCAGTTCCTGTAACAGTTCTCCATATGTTTTAGCCTCCAGTCCCCTAATCGTTTTTGTTGCTCTTCTCTGCACTCTTTCTAGAGTCTCAACATCTTTTTTTATAGTGTGGAGACCAAAAGTGGATGCAGTATTCTAAGTGTGGTCTTTCTAAGGCTATATAGAGTGGTATTAGTACCTCACGTGATCTTGATTGTATCTCTCTATTAATGCAACTTGCACTGGCTTTTTTGGCTGCTACTGCACACCGTTGGCTCATATTTAATTGGTTGTCCACTAAGACTCCAAGATCCCTTTCATAGTTACTGCTATTATCAGAGCTGGAAGGGGCCTTGGAGGTCTTCTAGTCCATCCCCCTGCTCAAGCAGGAGATCCTATACCATTTCAGACAAGTGGTTGTCCAGTCTCTTCTTAAAAACCTCCAGAGATGAAGCACCCACAACCTCTGAAAACAAGCTGTTCCCACTGGTTAATTGTCCTCACTGTTAGGAAGTTTCTTTAACCAGTTTTGTACAGATATGATTTTAGAGTAGAATAGAATAGAATAGTTCCTGAATTTCTCTTTTCTTATCACTTCAATTGCTTAGAGTTGCCAGAGAATTTACAGGTCTTATTATTTTCATTCAGTAAATAGATCTGAATCACCTGATCCTTCCAGCCAATAGCCCTCTCTGCTGGTGAAAATCTTGTGGTGCAAGCTTGCGGACACAATTTCCCAAAATACATGGCTACGGTTCTTCCGCTTTGCCAAAGATGCAAAAATAAAGATACATAGTAATGCTGGTCTGTGACCCGAATAGAAATTGATTGAATAAAGATGTTTAGCTGACTGGGTGAGGTTCACTGACTGTGGAATTGTGGGAGCTGAAGTCCACACACCTTAAAGTTTCCAGGGTTGTGTGGGGAAAAACCAGTACTTAGATAAGTGGAATCGATTAAATCATGTTGAGATATAAAGCCACAGTTTTCTACCTTGTTAAAAGAATTCCATAGATTTGCAATGGGAAATCTTTTGTTTTGGCATCAGATAGACTATTTACAGATAGTTCTATAGTCTAGACCCGTGATGGCAAACCTATGGCACGCATGCCACAGGTGACACGCGGAGCCATATCTACGGGCATACGAGCCATTGCCCTAACTCAGCTCCAGCGTGCATGTGCGTGCCGGCCAGCTGATTTTCATACCGCCCATCCCCTCCTAGGAGTCTCCACACAGCCCATTTTGATGCCAGGTAAATACAGGGCTCATGCAGAAGCTCTGGGAGGCCATTTTTGGCCCCTAGAGAGCCTCCAGGGGTGAGGGAGACTGCTTTCACCCTCCCCAGGCTCCAAGAAAGCCTCTGGAGTCTGGGGAGGGCAAAAAACGGGTCTGCCGGGCCGATCTGAAGTTGGGAAATGTGCCGTTTCCAGCCTCCGGAGGGCCTCCGGGGAGGCGGGGAGGCCGTTTTCGCCCTCCCCCGGTGCTAGGAAAGCCTCTGGAGCCTGGGAAGGGCGAAAAACAGGCCTACCAGGCCTACTGGAAGTCTGGAAATGGGCCCGGAGGCTTCAGGGAGGCCTGCTAGGCCCAAAATGGGGCATGGGGGGATCATGCACGCATGCGTGGGGGTTGTGCTTGCATGTGGGGGTGGGGCACTGCAGGGGGGTCGCACACACATGCACAGGGAGGCAGGGTGCATGTGGGACATTGAATTATGGATGTGGGCACGCGCGTGCGCGCTTTCCGCACCCGAGGAAAAAAAGGTTCGCCATCACTGGTCTAGACTTACTGTACAGCCACAGTTAATCCCAAAATTTCCATTGCTAAGCAAGACAGGTCTTAAGCCATATTTTATGACTTTCTTGGCCGCAGTTGTTAGAAGGTTCCTTGGTGCTCTCTGAGCTTGCTTGTTTTCTTGCAGACATTTCATTACCCTAACTAGGTAACAGCATCAGTGCTAGCAAGCTCAGAGAGTACTAAGGACCCCTCATTTCAACCCTGAGCTACAAATATTCTCCTTTATTAGTTCTAACGCACTAAGCCAATGTTTCTCAATCTCGGGAACTTAAAGATATGTGAACTTCGATATCTGACTTTGCTTGTCAGAAGCCAGCTGGGAAGTTACAAATGGTGATCCCAATATCCTGGGATCGTGCAACGGTTATAAATACATGCCAGTTGCCAAGTACCCAAATTTTGATCATCTGACCAATGGAGATGTTACAATGGTCAAAAGTGTATGGCTGGCTGGGGAATTCTGGGAGTTGAAGTCCACCACATCTTCAAGTTCCTGAGATTGAGAAACAGTGGACTAAGCCTTTGTTTTCAGTGTCAAGAACAGTCAACACACATCAAACAACTACTTGGGTATCCAAACCAAAACATGAAGATTTGTGTCAAGGAATGCTCTGCCTGTTGACATCTGCCTACTAGGCAACTTTTGGCCACAAAACGTTGGGGGAGACAAGCTGAACCCAGATAGTAGAAGTTGCCTTTTCTCGCATCATTTCCACCCCCTGCCCTCCAGGTCAAGTTATGTTCCAAGTTAATTGCACATCCAACCCATGACTAAGTTGGTTATTAACTACTCATGAACGTTCTTTAGAAGAACGGTCCAAGAAGGTTATTTCTCTTTGGTCTTGTGGCCAGAGTTACAACTGGAGTTTACGGCATCATGGAGACAGAATCACCAACCCTCACATCTAAAACGGCGGCCATCAGCAATGCGGCAGACATTCTGGTCATCTGTTTTTACTTCCTTGTGGTCATTGGCACTGGCCTTTGGGTACGTAGAGGTCACTTTCTTCATGGGACGTAATGCTGGACTGAAATTGCTCTGCTGGTAATGGGGCATTTCGTTTGTAAAAAGCACAGGCAGTGCTCGACTTACAACATTCATTTAGTCACCATTCAAAGCTACAGTGTCACTGAAAAAGAGACTTATGATCGGTTTTCACACTTTTGACCATTGTAACATCTCCATTGGTCAGATGATCAAAATTTGGGTGCTTGGCAACTGGCATGTATTTATAACCGTTGCACGATCCCAGGATATTGGGATCACCATTTGTAACTTCCCAGCTGGTTTCTGACAAGCAAAGTCAGATTTGCTTAATGACCACATGATTCACTTAACAACTGAAATGATTCACTTTTAACAATTGTGGCAAAAACGGTCATAAAGTGGGACAAAACTCACTTAACAACTGCCTTGCTTAGCAGTGCAAATTTTGGGCTCAATTGTGGTTGTAAGTCAAGGACTACCTGTACCACTGGGATTCAATGTCAATGAAATTTCAAGCAAAATTTCAGAGGTGGTTCAAAGGGTCTCTTAATTTCCCTAAAAATGATTTGTTTTAGGCTCACAATACTGGAAACAGTCAGTAAGATTTCCCTCCAGGGTGGATTCCCTCCATATTGAAATCTGGCTCCAAATCTGCTGATAGCCAAGAAGGGAAATCTAAATCAAGATGGACCGCTTTTAGGGAAACATGAAAAAGATTTGGAGATTCTCTATTTTATCTCAATATCTTTATTTTTTCACAAGGGTGTATAGGCCAAGAAAGTTGTTAGTTGTAATTATTGCAATTGTTAAGGTCAAGAAAGTCTGTATCTCCAGGCATCCTTTATTTAAGGGATAAAACTGAGGAACCTAATATATTACTGCCATTTTCTTTCTTTTTTTATTTGTTGGAATAATATTCCATTTAAAATGTTTATTTGTTCCAATTTATAAATTACACAGGGAATCATCTTTTAAAGGGCAACTCAATAAATTGTGCCAGAATTTAGAAATCAAACATTGTCTAACAAAGGCATTTTTAATTAGCAAAGCAACTGATTGAGTTATATATTGAGTTAGTGCATAAAAGTGCATGCAATCTGTTCAAAGTGTCTAACCCAAACTCCCTGGATTTATATAATATTGAGTCAATCGTGAAAAGGTAGGCAAAGTATTTAAACAGTGACAATGTTGGGTATAAATAAGACAATGCCACTTACAGCCCTTTTTCACAAAATCATGTGCCCAAATGCAAGCTGGCAGGGTGACTCATGTGCACGTTTATTAGGCTTTTTTATCCAGGCTGCTAGTTTCTTCTCTTTTTTTAATTTCTGACCTTATTGCTCCAGGGGGTTAATTATTATCCTCAGTTACACGGTTCAGGAATGTACTGGAAGCTGGTAATGAGTAAAATTGAAAAGATGAGTGAGTGAATTGTCTGTTCTTTAAAGAATTACAGTCTGCTCCCAGGCACTGTCTTCTAGTTTAGTCTAGAAATTCTTCCTTTGATACCGATTAAATGGGATTAAATGATCATGTACCTCATATGCCAAGCTGAATCATATTAGCCTCTTTTATCTGGCTTTATTTCAGGGGTGTCTGCAGGGCATGGGTTAAAAAAGCCAAAATGGCAGCGCAACAGTGCAATTAAAGCTCGTCCTGCATTGCATGTAAAAAAAAGAAGAAGCTTTGATCATACTGTCACACCCGCCATCTTGGCTTTTTCGACCATGCCCTGAACATATCCTTCCTTTATTTAGAGCAGTGGTTTTTTTCAACTTTGGGCCTTTGAAGAGGTGTGGACTTCAACTCCCAGAATTCCTCAGCTAGCATCGCTGGCTGGAGAATTCTGGGAGTTGAAGTCCATGTGTCTTAAAGTGTGAAGGAAAGAGGGGGGGAATCTGCAAGGAGCTTCAACATGGAGGGCAGATCTGGATTTCGGTAGAGGACAGTTTGGGAACTTGATTTTGCTTTCTTCACTGTGATACCCCTATTATAGAGCTCAAATGACTCCTGTCAGTCCTGATTAGAGGTGGTTCCAAGGGCCACAAAAGGAAAAGTAGGGCTGCACAGGGAAATCATGATGCAGGAAACCCTGATACTTGTGGTTTATACCAGTGGTGAAATCCAAATTTTTTACTACTGGTTCTGTGGGCGTGGCTTGGTGGGCGTGGCAGGGGAAGGATACTGCAAAATCTCCATTCCCACCCCGCTCCTGGGGCCGATTCTCCAAACTGCTCAAAATTTCCGCTACGGGTTCTCCAGAACCTGCCAGAACCTGCTAGATTTCACCCCTGGTTTATACCACAAACCATGCTTAAGACAACCAGGGTAGGAGATGTAGTATTCAGCAGGTTTTGACCAGTTCTGGAGAACCGGTAGCGGAAATTTTGAGAAGTTTAGAGAACTGGTAAATACCACTTCTGATTGGCCCCGCCCCCATCTATTCTCTGCCTCCCGAATCCCAGCTGATCAGGATGAAATGGGGATTTTGCAGTAACCTTCCCCTGCCATGCCCACCAAGCCACGCCCACCAAGCCACGCCCACAGAACCGGAAGTTTAAAAAAATGAATCCCACCACTGCATGGTAGGATGTGTTATGTGACTCAGACCATAAATCCTCATATCTTTCCTCTTTCTCTTGTGGTTTGCAGTCTATGCACCGGATCAATCGAGGGACAGTTGGAGGATATTTCTTGGCTGGAAGGAAGATGGTGTGGTGGCCGGTGAGTGACCAGAAGAGAGAGTGGAGAGAGGAGACAAGAGACCCCAATTACTTGAGGGATGGGACAGAGGGCACTCAACAAAATTTTAGAATAGGGGATGCAGCAAAGTAAAGTTATAGAAGGAAAATCAAGTGGGTTATTTAGGAAGAAGAGGGATATGAAACAATCTGTCAGTGATGGGCATGGGGATAGGACTAGATCAGGGGTCTCCATCCTCCAGTCCAAGGACCGGCACCAGTCCTTGGCATGCCAGAAACCGGGCCACACAAACAAGCGAAGCCCCATCCGTGGGATGCAGGCAGCACATGAAACCACGCCCCCTCCTGTCCACGGATAAACCTCTCTCCACAGAACGGTCCCTGTGCCCAAAAAGTTGCGGGCCACTGGACTTTTTGGTTCCCCACCCCGATCATAGGATTCTATGAAGATGCGATAAGGATAAGAGAGAAAGAAAAGCGACCTAAGTTTCTGGATGAACTGGGAGATGAGACCCAAGGCGACAGGGCCCAATAGATTTGGAAAGTCGATATGCTTTTTTTTTTTTAAAGAAAATTTGGTGGTTGTGTTCACAGATTGGTGCTTCTCTCTTTGCCAGCAACATTGGCAGTGGGCATTTTGTGGGATTGGCAGGCACCGGAGCAGCGAATGGCCTAGCAGTGGCAGGATTTGAGTGGAATGTAAGTAGCAGAAGGACAAGATTGAGAGTTTCCCCAGAGCAGGGGTGCACAACTATGGCCTCTTTAAGACTTGTGGACTTCAACTCCCAGAATTCCTGAACCAGCCGTGGAAGTTGAAGTCCACAGGTCATAAAGGGGACACAAGGTGCTCACCCTTGCCAAAGAGGAATCCCCACAAGGGGGTGGAGCAAGACCTGCTTCATTTGCTGAGCAGAAAGCACCAGAATACAATCCCTGATTTGCCCCTCCCCATCAACAGGGAGAAAAGGAGTATCCGCAGGGTAGGGGGGTCATAAAAGGCAAGATGGCCCCCACAATCGTGCAATGGTGCACATTAAGAGGCAGCAGTAGTTTGATCATACAATATGAATGCCACCTTTCCTTTCTTGATTCTCAACCTGCCCACGACTCTTGCTGTGAGAGCAATTATTATTTTGTCAATCTCCACAGATAAATCAGTAAGAATTGACAATGCAGTGCTGGAAGAAGCTTCACCTGTTTCTTTTCTGCCTGTCACTGCAAATTAATTGTCCAGAAGCTTTGATGAGAATTTGGGGAGAAAAGAAAAAGATGGAAACTTGATCTATCCTGGTTCTCATTCTATTTTGTTTTCTTTCTTTTTAGGCTATATTTTTTGTTCTTCTGCTGGGATGGTTCTTTGTTCCAGTTTACCTCTCTGCTGAGGTAGTGATTTCTTTTCTCAATCACACATTTCTCTGTGGCATTTTTAATCTTCCCAAATAATTCAGAGCAGATCCATCATTCTCTCCACCCTCCCTACATATCAGCCTTGCGAGGTAGATTAAGCTCAAAGAAACGGTGCAGCCAAATATCTGGAGTGAGCTTGCCAAACGCCAGCCTCCTCCTAATTCTTAATTTAACCAAACAGGATCCATTCCTGTTGTTTTATGCAACACAAAAACTAAAGAGCTGGAAAATGCGTACTCTTTCCTAATCCAGTAACTGGAAAAAGTGCCTAACCTTTAAAACTTTTCAAACAGCAGCAGGGCTGGTACAGAAAAGGCACATATCTTGCACTTAGTGCGCCACCTTGAGCATGCCCAACGCTGCCAAATCTTATTGACACAGAGAAGTTGGGCTCCAGCTTGGAAGACAAAACCTCTAATCCCACTGACCAACCCTGATTCGATCCTACAAATCCTCTTGTGCCCTGAAAGTGTTGCAAAACACTTGAGCTGTGGATTAAACACTCTGGCCTTTTTGGGAACTTCTGACATTATGGAGAGAAAAGAGCCAACTGGGTATAATGATTAAAGTATTGGCCTAGAAACCAGGAGATGGTGAATTCTAGTCCCACAATACAACCACCATATAACCATATAATGGTGAATACTAGTCCCACCATATAACCCTGAAAGCTGGTTGGTTGACTTTGGGCCAATCACCAGGAGATGGTGAGTTCTAGTCCCGCCTTAGGCATAAAAGCTGGGTATAAGAAATATATATAAGAAATAATATAATATAAGAAATAAGAAATAGACATTAACATGTTCTCTGCTTCCTCCCCCATGTAGGTCATCACAATGCCCCAGTACCTGAAGAAACGTTTTGGAGGCCAAAGGATCCGTCTCTACCTCTCCATCCTCTCTCTTTTCATGTACATCTTCACCAAAATATCAGTAGGTCATTTTTCTCCAGACTTCCAGGACACAGTGACAGATCATGGGGAATATTTGGAAATCTCTTTACTTTTGCCTTCTTAGGAAGGCTGGTATAAATGTTCTCGTGGCTTTTAAATTCTGATTAATCTACACTTTTTCCTGGTGCCGTTTCTGCTTCTCTTACCTGCAGGTGGACATGTTTTCTGGTGCTGTGTTCATCCAGCAAGCCTTGGGCTGGAATATTTATCTAGCTGTCATAGCGCTTCTGCTCATAACCACCATTTATACCGTGACAGGTAACTTGGGTTCTTGGGCTGGGAATGAACTGGGTACAGTCCTTAACTTACAACCATTCGTTTACATTTGAAGTTACAAATGTTGCTTGAAAAAAATGACTTATGACCAGCCCTCACACTTATGACCATCGCAGCATTCCCACAGTTATGTGATCAAAATTGGGGCACTTGGTTGTGTATTTAGGACGGTTGTAGCGCCTTGGGATCACACAATTGCCATTGTCAGCTGGCTTCTGACCAGCAATGTCAAGGGGGGGGAACCTGGATTCATTTAACGACTGCATGACTCATATAACTACTGCAGTGATTCATTTAACAACCATGGCAAAAAAGGTCATAAAATTGAACGTGAGACACTTAACAATGGCCTTGCTTAACAACAGTAATTCTAGTCCCAATTGTGGTTATAAATTGATGACTTACCTGTTTTAAATAGGAAACTGAAATTCCTGGGCAATGTGATAAAATATAGCTGGGGGGAGGGTTCCAAACACCAAGCCAAAAAGAAAGACTGATTTTTTTGTATGTGAGGTATAATTACAGCCTTTTAGGCAGTAGAAAAAACACGGAAATAAATATGGAAGGAACAATCACTTGCTAATTGGAAGGATTCAGGAATGTCTGCAAGGGAAGGATCGAAAAGGTGAAGAGGGCAGCCCCACCCCTGTGATTGAAGCTCCACCCATTTTTACCTGCGTCATAACTGTTTTTAATGATCTAGGACTTTACATGATCCTGGCAAGGTTAAAAAGGTACCATAAGTTGACACTGATGAAAAGGAATATTTTTGTAGAGGGTCTAGCATTCATTAAAAATAATGAAATAAGGGAATATTTTCTGTCATTTATTCACTTATTTGAAGCCAGGCAACCAAGCTTAGTACTGCAGAACAATCCTATTTCTCCTCACATCCAGCGAGCCAAATCTTCTTTTAGAATATTACCATTAAAAAATTATTCTCTACCTCACAACCAACATTTAGCAGCCAGTAAGTGGGCTTTCTTCCCTACTGGATTTTGTCCTTTTCTTCATAATTTTGCCAAATTTACATTTGTCTCAGGATTACCATTCCTCTTTCAGACGGATGCTACGATTCTGGATGCCCAAACAGCCAGGTAGAATGCCAGCAGCCGAGTCCTCTCTCGCACACAACCTACGCACACCGCTTATCAGCCAATTAAAACTTAATCCCTTCTAAAAAGAACAATGCAGTAGCCAGGAAATAATCAGGCCAGAAATCTAGAAGAATTGTTCACAGAATGAACCTTTCGCCATCACATGACCTATTCCCTAAACACACACATGTAGAACATAGAATAATAGTGTCGGAAGGAATGTTGGAGGTCTTCTAATCCCAAACTAGCTCGAGCAGGAGACCGTATACCATTTCAGATAAATGGTTGTCCAATCTCTTTTTGAAAGCCTCCAATGATGGAGCACCCACAACTTCTGAAGGCAAGCTGGAAATTCCTCCTTAGTTCTAGGTTGCTTCTCTCCTTGGTTAGTTTCCATCCATTGTTTGTTTTCTGGCCTTTTAATTTAATTTAATTTAATTTAATTTCAAATTTATATACCGCCCTTCTCCCTGAGGACTCAGGGCTGTGTACAGCCAAGATAAGAACATAGAATACAAATATTAAAAACAGTTAAATATATATATAAATTTGGCCCGAAAATTAAGAAGTCACAAACTGATTAAAAGAATTTAAAAATTTCTTCTTAAGCCAGCCCGGCTTGCTGGAAAAGATGGGTTTTAAGGGCACGACGGAAGGCATTGATGTCATGGATTCTCCTTATCTCAGGGGGTAACTGATTCCAGAGGGTAGGAGCCCCCACAGAGAAGGCCCTCCCCCTTTTGGTGCTTTGGAAAATAGTTTGACCCCCTCATCTTTGTAGGAGCCCCTCAAATATTGGAATACTGCTATTCTGTCTTCCCTAGTTCTTCTTTTCATTACATTAGTCATACCCAATTCCTATAAACATTCCTTGTATGTTTTAGCTTCCAGCACCATATGTGTGTGTGTGTGTGTACAGTTAATATTTAGTGTTTCTTCCCATGTAATTGTGAACATATCCCTAAAAGGGTAGAAGCGACGTTTCGACAGAATCTCATCTGCCATCATCAGGCTTATGTGAGAGGACCCCTCACATAAGCCTGATGATGGCAGATGAGATTCTGTCGAAACGTCGCTTCTACCCTTTTAGGGATATGTTCACAATTACACGGGAAGAAACCCGAAATATTAACTGTACAACATATATACCCGAGAAAACTTACACACACATATATATATATATAAAGTGTTTTACCGAGACACCTGGTCTACTCCAACATGTGGGAGACAGCATTCTGCTCTCTTTTGCCTTTCAGCTCCAACCCAGGAACCCTCAAGCAGTTGCATCCACAACAAACCATTTTTTATACCAAAAATATATTTTGCTGATAAAGAAATAAAGGGAGACTGGTGTAGATCTATACCAGTCTCCCTTTATTTCTTTATCAGTAATATATATATATATTATATATATATATACACACACACACACACACACACACACACACACACACATACATACACAGTGTGTGGTGTGTGTGTGTGTGTATTTCTCTTTAACCAGGTTCTTCCTACGTAAACCAAGATTTTTATGCAGCCCTAGTTCAGTGAAATCCCAATCCACTAGTTTCTAGGCTTTTTTTCCAGCAGCCAGCAAGCTCCCTGTTGCCCGTTGGGAGACTAAGGAGACTAAGCAGGGAGCTTGCTGGCTGCTTGAAAAAAAGCCTAGAAACTAGTGGATTGGGATTTCACTGAACTAGGGCTGCATAAAAATCTTGGTTTAAGTAGGAAGAACCTGGCTAAAGAGAAATACACATAAAGGCCTACGAAAAGAAAACACACACACACACACACACATATATATACATACACACACCCATAGATAGATAGATCTGTCATGATAGATAGATAGATAGATAGATAGATAGATAGATAGATAGATAGATAGATAGATGGATGGATGGATGGATGGATGGATGGATGGAGGACGGACGGACGGACGGACGGACGGACGGACGGACGGTTGGGTTGGTTGGTTGGTTGGATAGAGTGGTGGGATTCAGTTGGTTTGCACTGGTTTAGCAGAACCGGTGGCTAATTTTTTGTAAAGTTTGGCAAACTGGCTCCTAAATGGCCAGACTACCATGCATTCACATGGCAGCAGCAGAAGAAGCCGTATCAAATCACGAGGGTAGAAATTACTAAATTAAGTAGGAAAGCATAGGGAGAGCAGAAAAGAGAGAGAAAAAGGGTAGGTTAGTGATGAGACTTCGTCAGCCGCCTTTGCACACGCTTTGTTCCATATTTGTTTGAGAAGCAGCCACCAAGGTTTTCTAGCGATGTTCAGCTCAGCAAGTGCTCTCTTGAGCATGCACCAGAAACATGAGCATGCACAATGATGCAGAGGACCTTCTTCACTTGGAGTTTGGCGTCGGACTTCAGGTCAGGTCTTTCTGAGCCCTGGTGGTCCCCACAGCTTCCCACACAGCTGATTTCCAGTTGGCCTGTGGTAGGACTCAAACCTGATGAGCCCCGCTTCTCCTAAGCTGGTGGATGAAGGCAACGGCATGGGAAGGACGGCTGGAATGAGCAGCGCTGCCCCCGTAACCCCTTGAAGCTAGCTGGGGTGTGATTTGGCTCCTGTTCTGTCCCCGTCTCACACACGCACACAAACAGACAGCCGGGGGTTAAATAAACTGGCAGACAACCAATTCTTCCGATAAGAGGCTTGGCAGCAACCCAGTAGCTGCGTGCCAAGAACTTTACTCCTAAACAAAATACACACAGTTCAAGAATTGTCCAGTTCGTAAAATAAATTCAAGGCAGAGAATGTTGTTTCCAAAGATGCAATGTGACTCGATAGTAGTTAGTTTTGTCCGTCACAGAGTCTGAATGGCCGCCTCATCCCCTTTTATATCCTGTGAGGTGTGGTCCAGTGACTCATCTTAATCTCTGGCATGCCTCTTCTTCTGTTGCGCGTGCTTATCTCTGCGACACTGCTGAGGATCCAGCCAAGACTCATCTCCCTCATTACTGTCCACCTGTGGCTGCATGGAAGTGCTTGGCCCCGGCCCTATCTCTTGCCCTTCGGTGGGCACCGAAGGCATTGCCAGAGAGGAGGGTCCTGGAGAGGGAGGCCTTGCCAACTCCTCTCCTTCACTCTCGGAGTCCTCTCCTGCCGATGACACAGGCTCAGGTAACGGAGCCACAACAGCTCCCGCCCGAGGATTCATCCCTTGCATTTGGCTGACGGCCACAGCAACATGCCTTCCTAAATGGTCCAGTAGCTGTACTTGATAAAAGGACCTTAACCCAGAAATTCCTGGGTTCCGATGCTTTTATTAACCTGCATTGTTCACACGGTAGAGGCTACCCCTTTATCTTGTTAGGAAAGTGGTCTTTCTCTAGTTCCCGCTTCTGTTGTCTGCGGCCCTCCCCCAAAAAGGCTAATCTCTGGGTTTCTTGTCAAATGGGACTGCACAGCTGCGCACTACACAACGCCGTACATACATGCTGGGCAAAGCCCATTTAGTAGACAGGCAGAGTTAGGATTTTGAGAAGTGTCAAAGTGGATCCTGGGTGCTTGTACTGCAATAGAGAAACAGGAAATAAAGCGGATGGTGGAGGAGCAGCAGGGAGAAGAAAGAGGGAAAGCAGCCTCCTTCTTCCCTCATTCCGGCCGCTCCGTTTCCCATTTCTCCATTGCAGCGCAACACCCAGGATCCACTTTGACAGCGGGGGAGGTTGGGGGATGGTCAATTATTTGAATCCCACCACTGGATGGATGGATGGATGATAGATAGACAGACGGACGGACAGACAGACAGACGGATGGACGGACGGACGGACGGACGGACAGACACATATTTACTCCATAGGCAGGAAAGACTCAAGTGTTCTGAATCTCTTGTTTTAAGAGCAGCTTGTTTCACATATAGCCATGACATCTGATTAATGACTAAGTAATCACACACAATCACAGACAATTCCTTGTCTGTAAGGCAGGGCTGTAAGACAGGGGTAACCCTGGCAACTTTAAGACTTGTGGACTTTAACTCACAGAATTCCCCAGCCAGCATGAAGCCCATAGGTCTTCAAGTGGCACCAAGGTTGGTAATAAGGTCTCCACCAAAGCTGCCTGTATCTTATATCACAAAGGAAGCCAAAAACAAATCTTGGTTAACGGAGCATCCCAAGATACATGATGTACAACTGGAAAAAAAAAATATAACAGAAAACTTCTCAACTTACCAATTCTCTCTCTCTTCTTGAGAATGAGTTTTGTTTGGTCTACTCAAGCTGGATATCAGAATCTCCAAATATATTATGATGGGGTTGCAAAATCAGGCCGAGCACCCATGGGCAAGTTCAGCAGCATTCCATGGGCAAGACCCTGACACAAGACAATGGGTTGTTTTATAATTAAGCAAGGAACTAGACGTGTAAGAATACAATTGGTTACCCAAAAAATCCAAAAACCAAAGGTATGTGGGTCAGATTTATGTTGGACAGCAACAAAATTTTCTCCTAGCTCCAACAATCGTCTACATCCTTTCCCATCTAATTCTAAAAAAGTACAGTGTTTCTCAGCCCCAGAAACTTTAAGATGTCAACTTCAACTACCAGAATTCCACAATCAGCATGGCTGGCTGGGGAAGTCTAGGAGTGGAAGTCCACCCACCTTAAAAGTTGCTGAGATGGAGAAATGCTGGTCTAGAGCAGTGTTTCTCAATCTTGGCAAGTTTCAGACATGTGGACTTCAACTCCCAGAATTCCCCCAATTCTGGAAGTTGAAGTCCACACGTGTCAAACTTGCCGAGGTTGAGAAACACTGTTCTAGATCATCAAGGAAAGGAGGAAGGAGTGTAAGTTGATAGCAAGCTTTAGACTTCGTAGACAAAAGCACCTGTGTTCAAGTGCTTGGCATTTTCAGCAAATGTGAGGCAGACTTTAAAATATTTGTACTAATGTTTTTAATAAACAATAAAAATTAATAAAACTGATTAATAAAAATTAAACGAAAAGAGAAAAAGGCAACAGAAAAAGATAGCAGAAGATAATAATATAGAAGTGGCTTCCAATTTGCATCACACCAAGCATAAACTAATATGCTAACTTTTAACCTTTCTTTATAAATTAAAATTTATAAGTTTATACATTTTATAAGTTTATAAACTTTATAAGTTATAAATTAAAAAAACATCTTCTCCCCATAGCCTTTTATCCAGAAATAATCATATTTTCAATCCTTGTTTAGCAAAATATACATTAGGAATTAAAAAAAATATCAAACAAATACTGGAGGAGAATATGTGTAGCTCAATGTTGAATCACATGTGGAGTCCTTGATGCTCTCTGAGCTTAGTTATTTTCTTTCAGACATTTCATTACCCAACTAGATAACATCTTCAGGTCTAGAAGGGAATGGGGTGTACTCTCTTGTTTATATATAGCAGTTTGCCCTGTCAGTATAGGTGGGGGTGAATTTCTTTTTGGTACTTCTTTGATTATGTTGTTATTTAAACTATTATGTTGTTAAACTGAAGGTATTACTTAACTGGGTAATGAAACATCTGCAAGAAAACAACCAAGCTAAGAGAGCACCAAGGATTCCACAAATAAGAATCATTTATTCCTAGTCAAATAATTCAACTTTACTGTATATTTCTTCTTTTTGCTTTGCACAATCTTGACCTTTAAATCCTTCCTATGGCATTGCTGGATTTGATCTTTCATCACTGTTTGGTATTTAAAATAAACCTTCAAAGAGATTTCAAAACTACCAGCCTACTTTATAAATTACATAAAGAGACAATATCCAGGTTTTCTTGTCAAAGCTGTTGTAAATCCAAATCCAAATCCAAATCCAGATTCTTGATTTCTCTTTTGTATTCCCATTTTAGTAATTTCAATTTTTGTGGTCTTCCATGTCTCCAAACTCTATAATATTTGTTAGGTCAATGTTTTTTTAAAAAAATATTCTTATCGCCTTGTAAAAGTTTATTCATTGGAATCTGTATTCTTTCTGAGATATTAATATCTCTCAATATTACTAATATTTCAGAATAATTTCTCCTTTTTTTCCCTTCCTTTTGCCAATTGTATATTATTTTAAATTTTGGAGACTCTCTTTAAAATTTCTTAAATGCAAAGAAGAATGTAAAACTCACCTGGTGCCAATTTAAGTTTGCTGTTTTGAAGGTCTCTAATATTCATAAAATGATTAAGCTGAACATTTCCAAAAGTGATTAGAAAGGGAGTTCTTCATGAAAGGCTCTGCTCCTGTCCCTTGGCACTCAAATGGGTGAGAGACCTTTGTTTTATGGTCTCACAAGGTGCTGTCAATCAAAGCAGTTATGGGCGATCTCTTGATTTTTTCTTTCTCTGGAGAAATTTGAAGAACCAGTTTAACTTGGCAATCTTTCGTTCTACATAGCGGTTGTCATCTTGGCCATTTGCAGAGATGTCTTCAGTCCGCCATGACTCACAACAGAATCCTGTGGGAAAGCATCTTTCCAAAAAGATGCTGCCTGCCTGTGCATGCTTGTAATGGATGTATGGATGACCTTGGGAATAAGGAAAGAAATGTTGCTTAGGGAACGAAAAGATAAGAGAGGGAGGAGCCCTCTATTGCTTAACAGTCAAAGAAGAAACTTAGGAAGGACTCACCATAATGGATCACACACTTAAAAGTGGCGGTGAGAACTTTGCACCTTAAGACTTGCAAGATCCTGTTAATGTAGCCTTACAAAATTGTAGAATTAGCTCATGTAGTCATGTTTCCAACAAACAGATCAGTGTGCATGATTCTTTGAGGTAGAAGAGGTCAGAAGGATCTAAAAGAAAGCATACAGATAATCTTCAACATACAACCATTCATTTAGTGACCATTCAAATTTACAATGGCACTGAAAAAAGTGACTTATGATTGTTTGTCACACTTACGGCCTTTATAGCATCCTCCTACTCAAAATTTGGACACTTGGCAACTGGCATGTATTTATGATGGTTGCAGTGTCCCGGGGTCATGTGTTCACCTTTTGCAACCTTCTGACAAGTAAAATCAATGGGAAAGCCAGAATCACTTAACAACTGTGTTGCTAACTTAACAATTGCAGTGATTCACTTAACAACTGTGGCCAGAAAGGTCATAAAATGGGGCACAAGTCATTTTACAACTACCTTGATTGGGCTCAGTGGGGATTACAGGTCAAAAACTACTGATATGGTTCTCTCAAAATGCGTTGCCTGCAACCCTCATCATCTTTCCCAGGTGGGTTTGTCCTTATTGCAGAATGGCATTTAAAGGACCCTCAGTTGCCTAAAACAGGTGCAGATAAATAAATAAATAAAATAAATAACTTTATTGTCATTGTATGGGTATACACAGTATACCCATACAACAAAATTCACTTAACACCCAAAGACCAGGTCCAACACACATAACAATCCCCAAGTACACTCCCACCCACCACAATTCCCCACCTTTAAACCACCCAAACATCCATACAATAGACCAAGTAATACTGTCCAACAGATCACTGATGGTGGCCCTTTAGTTCATTGTAGAGTGCAATTATAGCTCTGGGATAAATCTGAGATTTAATTGTTCTGTATCTTCTGCCAGAAGGCAACAGTCAAAAAGATTGTAAGCAGGATGGGAAGAGTTTCTGAGAATGTTATGCAACTTTCTCTCTTTTTTTTTTATTGAAAAAGTTTTACAAATACAAATTTTTCCCCCTTCCCCACCCCCCCTTTCCCTCCCTAACCCTCCCTTACCCTGCCCACCCCCCATGGCTTCCCCAGGATGAAATCCAAATCCAAATCATGTTATATAATACTTTACCACCCATCTATTCTACCCCCTGGGTGTTATACATTTCTTCTGATATTCTAGTGTACTATCCCCTGTAAACTATACATTTCTAGACAACATTTATCTCGGAATTATCTGGTACTTCCTAGTTTAGTATTTATTCTACACATAATCTATCCATATCCTCTTCTCCCTTACATAAATCTCTTGTGTCCGGTCTTTTATATATACTGATAACTTCACCATTTCTGCGAGACTGGCCACCTTCAAAGTCCATTCTTCAATAACATCCCTTTTCCAATATAACCTAACCTATCCCCATATCAGTTTTGTTTCACCCACTTTCCCGCAGGTCCACCATACATAATTATTTATAAAATCTAAACAATCACATCAGATCCTTCTTCCAACAGTGTATTTAGTGTCTTTAGTTGCCATCTGCCCCCCTCATTGAAGAGTACTTTTATGTATAAAACCACCCCGAGTGACTTTATATTTATATTCCATATGATATCTTCCGCAAAGTCTTTCATCTAGATTATTAATTCCATCGACCATGTTAGGGTGACAACCAGATCAACTGCAAGTGCCCTTGTTCCGTAGTCCTCTTGCCTCATGATTATTCCCTTCAACGTACACATAATCCATCTTTCTTAAAATCTATAATAGAAAGTTCCAATTCACTCACTTACAGGCCTTCTCCACATGCTTAAACACCAGCACTGCAGGGATCTGTTTATTCTTCTCAAAATAGTCCAATAAGTCTATAATTTGCCTCACATTATCTTTTATATATCTGCCTTCTATAAGTCCTGCATAAACATAAATCGGTTCTTAGATAACTGGCATTGATCTGTTGGGTAATAATTTTACAAAAATTTTATAATCCATATTCAAAAAAAAGTATTAGTCTAAAACTTTCTTTTGTGGAACCTGCTTTTTTTCTTGCCTTGTGCTGGCTTGAACCTCTGCTGTTGTTGTTTTTCTGGAATTTGTTTGTATGCTGTTCGAGTTGTATGCTGATGTTTAACTTTGCAAGACATCAGATCAAGATCCAAAGCCGCTTCTCTTGTGTTTTTAAGTGATCCACCTAAAACCTTTAGAGGATGATCCGAGCACGGGTCATCCAAAGAGCCCCCTGTGATTCCTTGTATTTCCATTGGTTCCACCTCCATCTGCTTCCACTGGACTTCAATCTTTTGTTCAATTTGCTTTTCTTTATCTCCCTCCTGTATTCCTGACGCTGACAATATACATGGAGATGTTGAGCCAGTTTTAAAAACATTGCTATAAAATTCTTCCGCTTTTTCAACAGTATTTAATCGATATCTTTCTCCTTGATACGTCAGTCTTATGCCAACTGGGACATCCCATCTATATGGAATCTGTTGTTTCTTTAGTTCAATCACCAAAAATCCAAAGTCTTTTCTGTCTTTTAGCATCTTAGGCAGCAACTCTTTGTAAATCCCAATCTGCCTTCCATCCACTTGTAAAGTAGAAACAAAAGACTTTTGCAAGATGTCATTTATTCTTTTATCTGTAAAGTATATCACTACATCTCTGGGCAATTGCCTTTACCTTGCCACCCAAGAATTCACTCTGTAAATCTTGTCAATTTTAGACAAAACCTCTTCAGAGCTAACCTTTAACATCACAGCCAAAGCATCAGCACAAATCCTTCTCAAATCTCTGTTGTTTTCCTTTATCCCCCTCAGTCTTACAGCAGATTCCATAAATTTGAATTGCATCATTGTTGCTTCATTTTCAATCCTTTGCATTCTATTGTCCACATTATAGATCTTGTAATCAATTTCCTTCATTTTAGACTCTACTTCTAAACTGAATTCTTCCATCTTTTTATCAATCTGGAAAATTACTTCTGAGAAGCCAGTCAGGACTGTCAAAATATCTCATTTCATCTTATCATACTTTTCTTGAACCAACTCCTTAGTTTCCTGTTGAAATTTCTCAAACTTCTGATCCATAGCCACCTCTTGTCTCATCAAAGCTGCAGTAATAAATTCCTTCAAGTCTTTAAAATTCTGGCTTTGAATCTGCGAACTTGGAGACTGCTCTTGTGACTTATAAATAGGGGAGCCGCCCCAAACAGCTTTATTATCTAGCTTTAAAGCCATGCTGCCATGCAGACCAATTTTTTTTAAGAAGAAAATCTTCTCTCCCTTTTTTCCAGCATAAAATCCTCTCAGAGTTAATCAAGTCTCTAAAGAGATAGAACATAAGAAAAAAAACCTTTTCCCTTCTCTTGTAACCAGCGCTGTTATTTTAGATACTTTGTAGCATAATAAAACAGTCAGGCAAGTCCACTTTCGCTTTCAGATTTTTTTTTTTTTTTTCAAGCAGCTAAAGCCGGACGCCATTTTAAACTTTCACTCTTTCTTCATTCTTAAATCCAATCACAGGGCTAATATATATACTTGCGGTTTTGGATTCCAAATCCGGATTTCACCCTGTTTATTTTGATAAATCACTAATTACATTGGTCGCGTCGTCTAGCTCTGCAGCAAGCAGAGTTCCCCTGGCGCCCGGAGCCTCGGCGAGCTGGATAGGGAGCCTCATCCTGCTTCCTCCCCAGAGGCAAAAAAAAACCCACTCTGGGGACTTCACAGGGACTCTACCTGCTCTCGCCGGCTCTCCTCACACTTCTTCACAGAAACGGAGTTTTTTCAAGCTGCCTCTCAGCTGTGGAGGCGGCTCTTTACGGGCGGCGGGGCTGACGGTCATAAAAGACTGTCTGGCGATGACAGCGGCCAGAGTTATGCAACTTTCTCAAACAGCGAGATTCAAAGATGTCGTCCAGGGCTGGTAGCTGGACTCCGATGATATTCTGGGCAGTTTTAATGATTCCCTGTAGAGCTTTTTTGTCCGCTAGAGAGCTGCTCCCATACCATGCAAGAATGCCGTATGTCAGGACCCTCTCAATGGTGCTGCGATAGTAGGACAGAAGTAGATGCCGAGATAGATTTATCTTCCTGAGCATTCTCAGGAAGTACAGCCTTTTTTGTGCCCTCTTCACAAGCACGTTAGCATTCATAGTCTATGAGAGGTCCTCCCAGTAATTTAAAACTACCCACTCTTTCCACCTCCTCACCATTTATGTACAATGGTAAATGTACATCTCTCTTCCTCCTGAAGTCAATTATAAATTCTTTAGTTTTTGTGGTTTTAAGTGTGAGATTATTTTCATTACACCACAGTGTCAACCCTTGTACTTCCTTCCTGTAAGCAGACCCATTGTTCTTATTAATGAGCCTCACCACTGTTGTGTCATCCGCAAATTTAATAATTGTGTTGGTGTTATACAATCGGGTGCAGTCATGTGTGTACAAGGAATAAAGAAAATGGCTTAGCACACAACCCTGTGGGGCTCCTGTGCTTAGTATCAGAGTAGAGGAATGGTGAGATTCCATCCTTACTGACTATAGCCTATCTGTCAGAAAATCCCTCATCCACAAACAAATCCTCTGATTTATACCCAAATTGGACATTTAAAAAAAAACAACCTGTTGGGTAAAATCCTCTGTGGCTCCTGAGGACGTGGACAGGATTCTGGGCAAGCTTAACGCTGCCACATGTTTATTGGACCCGTGTCCCTCCTGGTTGGTACTGGCCTCCCGGGAGGTTACACGAGGCTGGCTCCAGGGGATTATAAATGCTTCTCTGAGTGAGGGTGTCTTTCCCGCCGCCTTGAAAGAGGCGGTTGTGAAGCCCCTCCTCAAGAAGCCTTCCCTGGACCCGGCTATATTATCAAATTATCGTCCAGTCTCCAATCTTCGCTTTGTTGCGAAGGTTGTTGAGAGTGTGGTGGCGCGACAACTACCCCGATACCTGGATGAAGTTGTCTATCTGGATCCGTTCCAGTCGGGCTTCAGGTCACGATACAGCACAGAAACGGCATTGGTCGCATTGGTGGATGATCTCTGGAGGGCTCGGGACAGAGGTTGCTCCTCTATCCTGGTCCTATTAGATCTCTCAGCGGCTTTTGATACCATCGACCATGGTATCTTACTGCACTGGCTGGAGGGGTTAGGAATAGGGGGCACCGTGCTTCGGTGGTTCTCCTCCTTCCTCTCTGACTGTTCGCAGTTTGTGTTGGCAGGGGGGCAGAGGTCGACCTCGAGGCACCTTATTTGTGGGGTGCCGCAAGGGTCAGTCCTCTCACCCCTTCTGTTCAACATTTATGTAAAACCGCTAGGTGAGATCATCCGTGGTTTTGGGGTGAGTGTTCATCAGTATGCTGATGACACACAGCTATACATCTCCACCCCAGACCACCCCAATGATGCCCTTGCTGTGATGTCCCGTTGCCTGGAGGCCATGCGGATCTGGATGGGGAGAAACAAGCTCAGACTCAACCCCTCCAAGACCGAGTGGCTGTGGCTTCCGGCGTCCCGGTATAGTCAGCTGGTACCATCACTGACAATAGGGGATGAGATCTTGCTCCCCACAGAGAGGGCCCGCAACTTGGGTGTCCTCCTGGATTCACGGTTATCTTTAGAAGATCATTTGACGGCCGTGGCTAGGGGTGCCTTTTATCAGGTTCGCCTGATCCGCCAGTTGCGTCCCTTTCTGGATCGGGACGCCTTGCACACGGTCACTCATGCCCTAGTTACCTCCCGTATGGACTACTGTAATGCTCTCTACATGGGGCTCCCCTTGAAAAGCACCCGGAGGCTCCAACTGGTCCAGAACGTAGCTGCGCAGGTGATTATGGGCGCAGCTCGTTACACCCATGTAACACCTCTCCTACGCGAGCTGCACTGGCTCCCGGTGGTCTTCCGGGTGCGATTCAAGGTGTTAGTTATCACCTTTAAAGCCCTCCATGGCTTAGGACCTGGGTACCTACGAGACCATCTTTTGCCACCAATAGCCTCCCACCGACCAGTTCGTTCTCACAGGGAGGGACTACTCAGGGTACCGTCAGTCAAATTATGTCGACTGGCGACTCCCAGGGGGAGGGCCTTCTCTGTGGGGGCTCCAACCCTTTGGAATGAACTGCCCCCGGAGATACGGAATATCCCTGATCTCCGTGCTTTCCGCCGTGCCCTCAAGACCCTGATGTTCCAACAGGCAGGGCTAAACATACAAACATGCGAATGATTTTTTAAATGTTATCTAATTCTGGGTTTTATTTAATTGACCAAACTAAGTAACAATTTTAATTAGCAATTTTATGATGTTTGTGTGTCTATATTTTTCTTGACTGTACACCACCTTGAGTCCTACGGGAGAAAGGCGGTATAGAAATATAATAAATAAATAAAATAAATAATAAATAAAATGGTGTTAAAGACAGAGCTATAATCCACAAATAACAGCCTCACATATGCCCCCTGTTGTTCCAAATGATTCAAAACAGTATGGACAACATGAGACATAGCATTGTCAGTTGATCTATTAGCCCTATATGCAAATTGGTATGGGTCCAAAGTAGATGGAAGACTAGCCTTAATATAGTTCAACACCAGCCTCTCAAAACATTTCATGACAACAGATGTTAAAGCTACTGGTCTATAATCATTAAGGGATACCACTTCTGTCTGCTTAGGGACTGGCACTATAATAGATGTCTTCAGGCAGGTAGGGATAGAGCACTGCCACAGGGATAGATTGAAAATATCCGTGAACACTCCAGCTAGCTCTGCAGCGCAGTCCCTGACAACTCGTCCCAGAATTCCATCAGGCACATGATGGAAAGCGCGTCTCACATCAGAGATCTGCAGTAGAAGTGGTTGTCTATCAATGGTAGATGTTAATGGTGTACTATCAGTGGTAAATGCTGGAATGATGGTTCTTCCTGTGTCCACCTCAAAATGGCTGAAAAATTGATTTAGCTGCTCAGCCGAAGAGTCACTACTGCTAGACAAACTATTTTTATTGCTTTGTCCAGTTGCATGAGGAACCAAAGCAGGGGTGAAATCCAGCAAGTTCTGACAGGTTCTGGAGAACCAGTAGCAGAAATTTTGAGCAGTTTGGAGAACCGGCAAATACCACCTCTGGCTGGATCCAGAGTGGGGTGGGAATGGAGATTTTGCAGTATCCTTCCCCTGCCATGCCCACCAAGCCACACCGTGCCCACCAAGCCACGCCCACAGAACTGGTAGTAAAAAAAAATTGGATTTCACCACTGAACCAAAGCATTATCATACCTGCATATGAGTCTCCATCTTACTTTCAGGAGGATTAGCAGCCTTGATGTACACTGACACAGTCCAGACTTTTGTTATGATTGGAGGTGCTTTCGTCCTGATGGGGTTTGGTGAGTAGGTTGCTGAAGATACAAAGACTGAGTTTCTTCTCTCATCTCAAACTGCAGAAAGTGGGTTCCAGTAGCCTCACACATAGGAAAGCACAATGGAAGGTAGTCCTTGACTTATGACCAGTTGCCTAATCACTGCTCAAAGAGGAGGGGGGTGGGGGTCAAGCTATCTTCCAAAGCACCTGAAGGCAGGAGAAGAAACAATGGGTGGAAACTAATCAAGGAGAAAAGCAACCTAGAACTAAGGAGAAATTTCTTGATAGTGAGAATAATTAATCACTAATTCTCTATAGGGGGAATTCAGGTTACATTATATTCTTATTCTTCTTGTGCCATATCCGTCATCGGATGTTGGTGATCATACTGGTAATCCTATTTTTGTCAACAGCCATATGAAAAAGTATATATATTAGCCATTTATAATGCTCTGGCATTTTTATCAAATGTGATGCTCTGAAATTTTTGTCTAAAGGGTGGGAATCCTCATAAAATAAATCTCAGTTTTTAAGGACAAAAAAATAACGTCATTCCCACAGATTCACCTATTTTTTTGTAAAAAAATTTTTGAAAAAAAAGAGGCACGATCTGAACCAGAGATAAATTGGATCAGTAAACTTTTCAAACTAACTCTTATTTACTAAAATCCTTGTGACGAATATAGTGATATAAGTCTTTTGATTTTGCACATGTAATGAGATTCTACCATTTTTTTTTCCAATTACATATTCATTAGTTAAATTATTCAGGTTCAACTGATCCTATCGATCTAAAACAAAAGTTAACTTTTTAAAAGCTGTAACAAAGAACCTGCTATGCAGTGGTGGGATTCAAAGAATTTAACAACCGGTTCTCTGCCCTAATGACCGCCTGGGTGGGTGTGGCCAAGGGGTGTGACAGGCAGCACTCAGCCTCCTGCACCCCCCCTGGGAGCAAAAACGGGCTGCGGGGGGGGGGGAACGCACTGGATCCCGGCACCCCATTTTGTGCCTAGGAGGCCTCCCTGAAGCCGCCTGGGCTGTGCCCGTTTTGGTCTTAGAAGGCCTCCCTAAAGCCTCCTGGGAGCGAAAATGGGCCGCAGCGCGCCTCACCTCCGCGCCCCATTTTGGGCCTAGTAGGCCTCCCTGCACTTACCTGGAAGCCAAAATGGGGCGCTTGAGGATTCCTGGAGGGGGAGTGGAGGGGCTAGCCAGCAATTTAACTACTGATTCGCCCGAACCGGCTCAAACCAGCTGAATCCCACCACTGCTGCTATGCTGGAATGCAATTTCTTTGTACAGGGAAAAGTCAGAGGGAGGGAAGAGATCTCCAAACTGGGAAACAGGAAATGTGGGAAACAGGAAGTGTAATGTAACATGCAAACATCTGAATAAAAATGCAATTTTAGTTCCAGCGTGACCATGACTCTTCCCATACAGCCTTCAATGAAATCGGAGGTTATCAAGGATTATTTGACAAATATATGGGGGCTATTCCCAAGCAGACACTTTCACCCATCCCTGCCCTCTACAACATCTCGTCTTCCTGCTACCTGCCCCGTGAAGACTCTTTTCACATGATCAGAGATGCCACCACTAGCGATCTGCCCTGGCCAGCTGTCATCCTCGGTCTTTCCATCAACTCTCTCTGGTATTGGTGCAGTGACCAGGTACAGAATGATTTTTAGGGAAGGATAAGGGGGAATAAAAATAGTGTGTTTATTTCTGAAGAATCACCACCTTTTAGTCTGGATTAAACTCACAGTTCCTTACTTAGCTGCCTAGAAGCCTCCCACTAAATCCTGCTATTATGCCTAAGAAGTTTTCCTAAGGCTTTCCATTGGAAGTAATTAATCGATCAGAATAGAGCTGGAAGGGACTTTTGAGGTGTTCTATTCCAACCCCCTGCTCAAGCCAGAGATCCTATACCATTTCAGACAAGTGACTGTCCAGTCTCTTCTTTAAAAACCTCCAGTGATGAAGCACCCACAACTTCTGAAGGCAAACTGTTCCACTGGTTAATTATTCTAACTAACTGCGAGGAAGTTTCTCCTTAATTCCAGGTTGATTGTGCATAACCTTTGATTATGCCCCCTGATTGATTGTTGGTGTGGAAGGAAAATTACTTACAGTATATTTAAGACCAAGCCTCTGTTAAGCTGAATTCAACTTCTGACTTTATATCCACCTTGCCAATAGTATAGTTGTTCAACCCCTAGGCTACCCTAAGGCAGAAATGAAGACGGCATAGATGTTTTACAGCAAACCGTCCCATTTGCATCCCATGTAGGTCATAGTACAGAGGTGCCTGGCTGGGAAGAACTTGACCCATGTGAAAGCTGGCTGCATCCTTTGTGGGTACCTCAAACTGCTCCCCATGTTCCTCATGGTAATGCCTGGCATGATGAGCCGGATCCTGTATCCAGGTAAACCTCTGAGGTGATGGTTGGAATGGAGATATCAGAAGAAAAATGAAAAACAGTTGATCTAACTGAGCCAAAGAACAGTCTCAGATGCTACCTGTAGTCCTCGACTTACAAACACAATTGAGCCCAAAATTTATGTTGCTAAGTGAGACGGGTGGTGAGTTTTGCCCCACTTTATGACCTTTCTTGCCACAGTGGTTAAGTGAATCACTGCAGTTGTTAAATTAGTAACATGGTTGTTAAGTGAATCTGGCTTCTCCATTGACTTTGCTCGTTAGAAGGTCACAAAAGGGAATCACATGACCCGGGACACGGCAATTGGGTTATGAATATGAACCAATTGGCAAGCATCCAAATTTTGATCATGTGATCATGCGGATCACATGTGTTATCCGCATGATCCGCAGTTATGTGAAAAATGGTCATAAGTTACTTCTTTAGAGAATTTAGAGATCTTTGGAACCAACTCAGCCAAGAAAAACCTTTTCTAGCTTTGTCAGGGTTCAGATAGCTGAGAATACAGATTCTAGTTCCAGGTTGATCTAGTACTGTGATGACAAACCTATGGCAAGCGTGCCACAGGTGGCACACAGAACCCTCTCTGTGGGCACGCCAGCTGTCGCCCCAGCCCAGCTTCAGCATACGTGCACGCCTCCTGCCAGCCAGCTGGTCTTCGGGTCTCTGCCACACATGCGTGGGCGCAGGGCACATGCATAGGGGGGTGCAGGTTGGTGCAGGAGGCTTTCCAGGCCCAAAATGGGGCACGGGGGGGGCCATCACGCAGCGCCCCCACGCTCTGTTTTGGGCATGGAAAGCCTCCTGCACCAAACTGGAAGCCAAAATGGGGCACAGGGGGCAGGGGGCATGCGCAGGGGGGCGCTCGCATTGCATTTTGTTTGTTCGGGAATGCATGTGTGCATTCATGCGCAGGTGCGCACTTTGGGCACTCGGCACCAAAAAGGTTAACCATCCCTGATCTAGTATGTTGCATAATCAACTGTATTAATTTTGTATGAATTGTAAACAATTCATTGTAATTGTAAAAATGTATTAATTTTATTTCAAACAAGGAAACATATCTAGTTACTGATCTAGTTACATTAGAGCCAGTATTGACTTTTCTAATGTTCTCAATCTTGGTTTACTTATTGCTTATGAGCATTTTTTTTCCCATCCCAGCCTGCCCATGGAAGGGACTTGAAAGCTATTCCAATTAAAATTCAACTGGTGCTTTATTCACAATGGCTTTAACCCAGAAATAATCTTCTTAAACTTTTGCAGAAAAGAAAAATATATGAAGATAGTCACTCTCTCTTCACTTAAATAAAAATGGCTCTGATAAAATCTAAGAGCATCCACAGTATATATATTCACAACTGAGTGGCCATTTCCTCAGGTGGAGACAGTTACTGTTCATTTCTTTACCACACAAAAGCATGTAGTGCAAAAATAATTATTATTAACAATAAAAAGTATTGCGCAGAGAAGTGTTATGAAGAGAGTTATGGCACACTTCTCTAAAACACATAAAGAACGGTTGCTGGAATTGGGTATGTCTAGTTTAATGAAAAGAAGGCCTGGGGTGACATGATAGCAGTGTTCCAATATCTCGGGGGCTGCCACAAAGAAGAAGGAATCAACCTATTCTCCAAAGCACCTGAAGGCAGGACAAGAAGCAATGGGTGGAAACTAATCAAGGAGAAAACCAACCTAGAACCAAGGAGAAATTTCCTGACAGTCAGAACAATTAACCAGTGGAACAACTTCCCTCCAGAAGTTGTGAATGCTCCAACACTGGAAGTTTTTAAGAAGAGATTGCGCAACCATTTGTCTGAAATGGTATAGGGTTTCCTTCCGGAGCAGGTGGTTGGACTAGAAGACCTCCAAGGTCCCTTCCAGCTCTTCAGCAAAGGTCTCTGTTCTGTTCTGTTCTGTTCTGTTCTGTTCTGTTCTGTTCCACCCTACCCTACCCTACCCTACCCTACCCTACCTTACCGTACCCTACTCTTCCACCAATCATAGTGATTAGCTATATGTGCAGGATTCTTAGAAGAGGCTATTGAAGAACTCAACTCAAGCATAAGGTCCATACCTAAGTTTAACACTACCCAATTTTACAATTTAGCATTATTTTCTATTGATTCATATATACAGTCAATCACACTATGGAGGCTTTCTTCAGAAATCACTAAGATTGGTCAGCTGGCTCTCTTGGGCTCAGTCAACACCCTCAAATTATCCTCTGCTCTGGATGAATCAGGTTTCACCTCTGTGACCCCAAAGTATAAATCAGGAAGGCTTTGTAAAGTCCTGGAATCAGTGCGACAGCCAGGACCTCCCTGTGAATTTGTTCCTTGTTTTATCAGCAAGGCAAGCCATTCGTTTAATTTCCAAGCATGTAAAGAGATTCTGGCAGTTACAACAACTAAATAGGTTGGATTCCTTTTCCTATTGTTCTGTAGTTTTGTAATAAATGGTAGTGAAGTGGCAATCACTGAAGGGTTGATGTTTGTGCAGCTAAACAGCCCATGGTCTGGTGATTAAGCAGTGGTGAAATCCAATTTTTTTTTACTACCGGTTCTGTGGGCGTGGCTTGGTGGTGGTGGTGGTGTGGCTTGGTGGTCATGGTTTGGTGGGTGTGGCAGGGGAAGGATACTGCAAAATCTCCATTCCCACCCCACTCCTGGGGGCAGGATACTGCAAAATCTCCATTCCCACCTCACTCCAGGGGAAGGATATTGCAAAATCTCCATTCCCTCCCCACTCTGGGGCCAGCCAGAGGTGATATTTACCGGTTCTCCGAACTACTCAAAATTTCTGCTACCGGTTCTCCAGAATCTGTCGGAACCTGCTGGATTTCACCCTGTGATTAAGGCACCAGGCTAGAAAACAGGAGACGGTGAGTTCTAGTCTCGATTTAGCCATGAAAGCCAACTGAAGCCCCCAATTCCCTCTCAGCCCAACCCACTTCACAGGGTTGTTGTTCTTGTAGGGAAAATAAAAGAAGGAAGGTCTGTTGGTTATGTTCGCCGCCTTAAGTTATTTGTAAAAATAATAAATAAAGCCAAATTTTGCGATCTTTTTTTTTTGCAATAGTCTTTAAGCAATTATAAAGCAATTGCCAAGGTTATTAAGTCTACCTATTGTTTGCTATGGGGCAGTTTTTGCCAGAACTCGGAAGTAAAGGCCAGTTTCTAGCAAAAACATTGTAAACCGCACCAATATGACTGTGGGTGCTGGAAATGGCCATAAATGCTGGCTGCCAGTGTGCCTAAAATGCAGTCATGTGATCGTGTGGCATTGGAAGTGGATGTTAGAACTTCAAATCCAGGTTGAAACAGTGGTGGGTTGCACCCAGTTCGCACCGGTTCTATAGAACCGGTAGTAAAACCAGCGGGAGGCTCCGCCCACCGACCCCAACGTCATCAGAACACTTCCGAGCATGCGCAGAAGAGCGCACGTGTGGCCCTGTTGTGAACCGGTAGTAAAGGTAAGTAGAATCCACCCCTGGGTTGAAAGTCCTATTTTCAAAGTCTTTCAGAATTTAGAATAGAATAGAATAGAATAGAATAGAATAGAATAGAATAGAATAGAATAGAATAGAATAGAATAGAATTCTTTATTGGCCAAGTGTGATTGGACACACAAGGAATTTGTCTTCCAATTAACTTCCAATGGTTGCTAAGTGACCTGTCATAAATTGATGACTACCTGAATCTTATGCTGTGTAAGTAGACCTCGACTTACAACCACAATTGAGCCCAAAATTTCTGTTGCTAAGTGAAAAATTTGTTAAGTGAGTTTTGCCCCCTTTTACGACTTTTCTCGCCATATTTGTTAAGTGAATCACTGCCATTGTTAAATTAGTAGCACGGTTGTTAAGTGAATCTGGCTTCCTTATTGACTTTGCTTGTCAGAAAAAGGGCTCATGTGAACCCAGGGGACTGCAACCGTCATAAATGTGAGCAGGTTGTCAAGCATCCAAATGTAAATCACGTGAACATGGGGGTGCTGGAATGGTCATGAGTGTGAAAAATGATCCTAAATCACTTTTCTCAGTGCTGTTGTAACTTCGAACGGTCACTAAGTGAACTGTGATAAGTCAAGGACTATCTGTATAGCACTGGTGGATGGCCAGACAGCCTTTTTCTATCTCCCTAGAACTTCAACCACTCTTTCCAGTCCCCTCTTCCCCTTTTCCATCATGGCCGCAGCCCCCACCGTCCTTTCCCATGGGAAGGTTACTGTCCATGAGAAAATGAGTTCTATCCACGTCTCTCAGCTTCTCTCGTCAGGAGAAATAACAGCTTATATCTTTGGTCGATTAGAAGTCAGGACAGCAAAGAGCCCTGGGCTGGGACTGGGACATGCTGAAACAATAGGGTTGGTGAACTGTCACAAGTGAAATGTTGAAAATCCTTCCTCCCTTCGTTTGAAATTAAAACTTAAGTGCCAGAGAATTTAAATGGAATTAAACCCTTTGGGAAAAAAATACAGGTTATCCATTTATAGGGTCTCCTGCTTGAGCAGGGGGCTGGACTAGAAGACCTCCAAGGTCCATTCCAGCTCTATTCTGATGATTCTAACTTCTTTCTCTATTGTTCTATTGAAAGGGAGAGAAAAATTGGCCAGTCGAATCAGTAGTTCTATCTCTTAACATTTGTTGCTGGCTCTGAAACTTTCATTTTGTTTATGGTTTTCTTTTCTGGTTGACCCCACTGCCGACACAGAGGCAGAAAGACAGACAGAGACAAACACAGAGAGAGAGACAGAGACAGAGGCAGAGGCAGAAAGACAGACAGAGACAGAGACAGAGAGAAAGACAGAGACAGAAAGACAGAGAGAGAGAAACAGAGACAGAGACAGAGAGAAAGAGAGAGACAGACAGACAGAGACAGAGAGAGAAAGAAAGACAGAGACAGACAGACAGAGACAGAGACAGAGACAGAGACAGAGAGAGAGAGTGATATGAGAAAGGTTATCATAAATCCCTTGATTGATGATAGGTAGAAGATATCAATTTTAATAGAAAGATTCTTCTCAAAACAGAAACTTTGTACAATTTATATCAAAAGAGTCTAAATGCCACCATTTTTCTACAAGAAAATAATATTACTTCTCTGAGGAACTGAGGAGTGGGTTTGTAGTCTCCTGTAGAGAAAATCCCCAAACCCTCCCTCCCACCTTCTCCTCTGTTAATTTAAGAACATAGCACCTCAGGCTGGTCGCTCACAAATGTAGAAGAGAGGCATTTAAGATGGTGAAAACAAACACTTCTTGGCACCCAGCAGAAACAGTATACTGTATTTGGTGTACACAACCTTGGTCATATATATATCTGTGTGCACATGCATGTGTATATGTTAACGCAGCGTTGTTACCTATGACAGAATCACTCATCCTCCTCCTCCTTCTTCTTCTTCACTTTACAGACGAAGTAGCTTGCGTCGTTCCAGATGAATGCAAGCAAATATGTGGCACAGAAGTTGGGTGTTCTAACATTGCCTATCCAAAACTGGTTGTGTCTCTCATGCCAAACGGTAAGAATGAGATTTCCTTCCTGACCCCAATACACTCGCTTTAGCCAAAGTTGGCAGCGGAGGCGGAAGCTGGTAACAGCTCCATGCCTTGAGGAGCACCTGCAAAATCAAACAACTTGTCCATCGAGTTGGGGCCATCAACAATAATGGAGGAGTTTGACCAGCCCTATTACAGAGAGCAGGATTTTGGACTTTACCATTGAATTAGAGGTCCCAGCTCTATTGTGAATTTAACCAGCTGTATGGCCCCGAGGGATGCTGAATGCTGGAATTCATTCCTTGTTCCTTCCCATTACGTTTTATTACCACAGGCCTTCGGGGGCTGATGTTAGCAGTGATGCTGGCAGCCCTCATGAGCTCCCTGGCCTCCATCTTCAACAGCAGCGGCACCCTCTTCACCATGGACATCTACAAACGCTTGAGGCCCCAAGCCAAGGAGAGGGAGCTGTTGATTGTGGGCCGGTGAGAAAGAGATCTGGGGCACCCTTGTTCATGCACATTCTTCGTTTACTATTGCAAAAGCAACCACTGGCATCTTGTTAGTCTTCCTCCATTGGGTGCCCTATAGATGTGTTGTGACTCTACTGTAATTCTTGCAATGCTCAGCCAGATTTGGGGGGAGAGGGGGGGAGATTGGTGATACCAACCAAGTTAAAGCTTTAACTCACAGGATGGCAACATTTTCAAAGAGTGAGGGGAGTTGTGCACTGATGCAGGCACCAAAACTCCATTAATTAATTAATTAATTCACTCATTCACTCATTTTCATTCATTCATTCATTGCAAGGTTAATATTCTCACTTGGAATCTACAAGAACTAATGCACGGCCCCTGAAATATTGCAAAGTCTGGCAAATTTGTGAGATTATTTTCTTTAATTTTGGAAGTTGGAAGGCATCATCAAGGATTGTTAATGATACACACTGGCACCTCACTGCTATAAATACTACAAGGTTCCCAAATTTGTCCACTTCTCTGATATTTTTGCCATCCTGCGAGCCACGTCAACTGCATTAGAAGCATGAATATTAGAACTCACTTGTATCACGAGATAAGTAAATTTTACGTGGCTGTGAGTTCACCCACAAAAATTCTTTCATATCCTCAATTAAACCCCACTTTGCAAGCATGTCCCCGCCTCCCGGGCAAGGGATACATTTTCACTTTGCTGTTTCTCTCTACAGGGTGTGGATCTTGCTGCTTGTGGGGATCAGCATTGCATGGATCCCTGTGGTACAGGTCGCCCAAGGTGGACAACTCTTTGACTACATCCAGTCCATCAGCAGCTATCTGGCCCCACCCATTGCTGCCATTTTCCTCCTTGGAGTCTTTGTCAAAAGGCTTAATGAGCAGGTGAGCAGGTTAAAAAAAAAAGACACAGCCAACCACATACTCCACATAAGGGGTGAGATCCATGGAGGGGAAACACAAACACTCAAAATAAAGGAAATAAGAGTACCAGAATTTTAAGCCCAGTTAGAATGGTGGCATCTAGGTTACCTTAACTGCCCTAAGCCAATTTGGACTTCCTATATAGTTAAATAAGTGACCATTCAGAGATTCCAGATACTGGGAAGTTGGGGAAAAAAATCCCTAAGAAGGCAGAAGAAAACTACTTCTGCCAAATGCCATAGTCATCAAGAGTTGGGTTGAAGTCAACCGTTTCATGATACACAGCCTTGGAGATGGGAAAACATTGGTCTACTAGCATGGAGAAATAGAGGTGAAAGACGTCTGTGTCACATACACTTCCAGCTGAGGGATCCTTCGTGCTCTCTGAGCTTGCTTGTTTTCTTCCAGATGTTTCATTACCCTAACTAGGTAACATCATCAGTGTTAGCATCAGTGTTAGCACTGATAACCTAGTTAGGGTAATGAAACATCTGGAAGAAAACAAGCAAGCTCAGAGAGCACCAAAGACCCCTCATTTCATTCCTGAGCTACAAATATTCCCCTTTATTTTTAATAATTATGCTTTCCCCAGATTTGCAATGGTCTCTTCTCTTAGTTTTAGGGAAGGGGGAAGGGCTATCCGAATAGGATCAAAGTGTCCCTGATGCAATGTGAAAGCTCCTTCTTGTTTGTTCCCCATCCTCCATGTTCCTCTTCAGGGTGCATTCTGGGGCATGATGGGAGGACTAGCCATAGGCATGGCCCGAATGATCCCAGAATTCGTCTATGGGGCAGGGAGCTGTCTCTTCCCAAGCAACTGCCCTCGCCTGATCTGTGGGGTCCACTACCTTTACTTCGCCATTATCCTATTCTTGGCTACAGCTGCCATTGCAGTGGGGGTCTCGCTCTGCACTTCACCAATTCCTGATAAACATGTAAGTACAGGGGGAATTTGGGGGGGATGGGGAGGAGGAGAAGGGAAATAATGCCAATGTATTGGAATACAGGTAGTAGTCCTCAACATATGACCACAATCAGCACCAAAATTGCTAAGCAAGGTGGCTGTTCAGTGACTCATGCCCGATTTTACAACCTTTTTTTGCCACAGTTGCTAAATGAATCTCTGTTGTTAAAGTGAGTTGTGTGGTTGTTAAGCGAATCTGGCTTTTCCCATTGACTTTGCTTGTTGGAAGCCAGCTGGGAAGGTTGCAAATGGCGATCATGGGACATTACAACTGTGGGGAGTTGCACGAAGTGCAAGAACTGGTTATAAATCACTTTTTTCAGTGCCGTCGTAACTCTGAATGGTCGCTAAACAAATAGCGTTCTAAGACTTGTGCTTCCTTCCCTATGTCCACTTAAAGCTTTTCCATGTCAGACCTCCAAATCACGGAGGCAGTGGCTAGAAAGGCGCCCTCTCTTTCGTATACTAAAGATAAAAGAGGACTAAGAAATCTGCAAGAGTCAAGCTTCACCTATTTTGTGTTATAAACCATAGCTTGGAACAATACATTAATATATAATGTTTGTTGGTATGGATATAAGTACATGTGTTCAATCCATCCATCCCTTTCCCTCTCTCCCTCTCTCCCTCTCTCTCTCTCACACACACACCTGAATTTATTACATTAACAGTAACAGAGTTGGAAGGGACCTTGGAGGTCATCTAGTCCAACCCCCTGCTCACACAGGAGACTTGTACTAGGGATTAACCAAGCTTGAATTAGCTTTTAATTTCTGGTGGGAGGGGGGGATTTCCTTCCCTCCCCGCCACATATTTCTCTAATCCTTAACAGTCCATCTGTTACCTCTTCCCAGCCCCCATTTCTCATCTTCTAATTGGAGCAGGTATTCTAATTTTAATTTAATTTAATTAATTCACTTTATATGCCGCCCCTCTCCAAAGACTCAGGGCCCTAAGCTAGTCCACAAACCTTTTGCATGGCAACTGAATTATTTACAAGTTGTTCTTCATAGGCACTGATAGGGATTCCAAAGAAAATCAGAGATGGTGACACCTGGGAGATTCCAGGGAGTCTCCTGGAATCACTTCACCTCCCTCACTCAGAAATTGATCACCTGACAACCGAATGCACTCATTTCTCCTTTATAGAGCCAAGCTAACCTCTTCTAGCTTGTTGTTGACAAACTTGCAACAATTCCCAGAATCCCCTTCCTTCCCCACCCAGTCATTCTGTTTCACCATTTGTGCATTTTAAAACTTACATTCTGCCAACCCAGCTGCATCGCCTGGTATTCAGCCTCAGGCACAGCAAAGAAACACGGGTTGATCTGGATACAGAAGAGGAGGAGGAGGAAGCAAAACAGCAGCAACGGCAAGCAGAGAATGCAGCCACAACAAATGGAAGACCAGAGCTGGTCCTAGAAGTGGATGGTGAGGGGACATTGTGCTATCTATTTATTAGATTGATAGCTTTCCTTCATTCGGGAGCTCAAAGCAGAGCCAGTTTGGTGTAGTGGTTAAAATAATGGCCTAGAAACCAGGAGACAATGCATTCTAGTTCTGCCTTAGTAATGAAAGCCAGCTGAGCGACTGTGGCCAATCACCAGGAGACTGTGAGTTCTAGTCCTGCCATAGACATGAAAGCTGGTTGGGTGACTTTGAGCCAATCACCAGGAGACTGTGAGTTCTAGTCCCGCCTTAGGCATGAAAGCCGGCTGGGTAACTTTGGGCCAATCACTCTTTCTCAGTCCAACCTACCTCACAGGATTGTTGTTGTTGGGGAGGAAGAGGAGGGAGGAGTATTATTGCCACATTGAATAACTTATAAAATATTTTTATTACTTTTTAAAGTACCTTCTTATAAAGTAATAAAGGCAGAATAAAAATTAAATAAATAAAATAGGACTCCCTTTTTTTTTTAAGATAGTGAGAGAGCATGACTGGTCCAAAATCATCTAGTCAGGGTAGACCTGAATCTGGGTCTCCCCAATGCCAGTCCAACCCCTTAAAAACTGCACCACATTAGCTCTTACATGGTATTATTTGGGAAACAAGATACAGCCTTTATAAAACCTACAATTCTAGTATGTCTCCAAATCATCAGATTCTCTCAGTGTGTGTGTGACTTTCCTTTTGAGTTTGCCCTTGTCACAATTTCACAATCATCGCAATTTTTGAGAGAGAACCCTAACTTCAGATGCCTCTTCCCTCTCCATGCAGATCCCAAAACAATGACCTCCTGTGGCCGACTACGTCAAAGCCTGGCCTGGTTTTGTGGGATGAATTCTGGCAGCCCAAAGGAGCCAGAACTGAACCCAGAAGAGAAGGACAAGGATTTCCAGGATCTGGCAGTCATCATAGAGCGCACACTCTGGAAGCAAGTAGTCAACATTAATGCTGTGATCATGATGGCCCTAGCCATCTTCATGTGGGCCTTCTATGCCTGAGGGTCCTCAAAAGCTCAGTAGAATATGTAGTTCACCAACCCCTCCAGCTACATCCCATCAACCCATCAGGCCCAGAGAAGAGCAAAAAGATGGCACCAGGAAGGACTCCCTAACAGTCATCTGGGTCATTTGCCATCATCCAAATCACTGAAGATCTAACTATGTCATCCAGGTCAACATTCACCAAATCTCATAGCAACTAAATCTTTGGGAGACCATCTTAGATCATGAAAAAGACAAGCCACACAAAACTATGGACAGCTGGAGTTAGGGAGAAACTCATCCTTTTTAAGTGTCCAGAGATGACTTGGAACATTCAGTTTTCAGAGTCTTAGAAAATATTGTCAGGCAGGAAACACCAAAGTCACATGCTAAGTTCTAATTAAACCGATTTATTGGTTGTGCCTAGGCCTAGGAATCTAGTCAACTAATGGTTAGCACTATTTTGGTGGTAGATAACCGTTAATGGGATTCAAAAGGAGTTAGAGTCAGTCTGTTGGTGGCTATATAACGACTCTAGGCTAATTCCTCTTTTGACTCCACCTGCCAGGCTCTGCCACTGTCTCCTACGAACATTTTCTTACTTGTTGTAATTTCACAACTGGTCACCTAAACCAGTGGCCCCCAACCTTATGGGCACCAGGGACTGTTCCATGGAGAGGTTTTCCGCAGATTGGAGGGGTGTGGCTTCACGTGCTGCCTGCATCCCATGGATGGGGCTTCACTTGTATGCGCAGCCCGGTTTCTGGTATGCCGTGGCCCAGTGCCAGTCCACCGACCAGGGGTTGGGGACTCCTGACCTAAACTACCTCTAATTATGATTATCTATAATTCTTCAGACTGCATGTTTATCATGGTATGTTTGCCTCAATGTCCTTCACTAATATTTATGCTCTCCAATCTCATGCACCTCTCATGTTCTCCTCCTCCATAAGGAGCTGCTGAATTTATTCCAGGATTGCAATATATATATATATATAAGGCACCAGATGCCCTTTTATTCCTCACTAGCCATGCGAAGGTGCACCCACTTATTCTATTCTTCCACAATGCTTCGTATTCCATCCCATGCCTTTCAAATCTTTGGAAAAGAGAGACAAAAACAATAAAATATATTTGGAAGATGGGAAAAAAACCAAACCAATCATAGCATCTGTGTATACAGGTATAAAAAGAAATGTGGTGGCTCAGTGGCTAAGACGCTGAGCTTGTCGATCGAAAAGTTGGCAGTTCAGCAATTTGAATCCCTAGTGCCACATAACAGGGTGAGCTCCTGTTATTTGTCCCAGCTTCTGCCAACCTAGCAGTTCAAAAGCATGTAAAAAATGCAAGTAGAAAAATAGGGACTACCTTTGGTGGGAAGGTAACAGCCTTCCGTGCGCCTTTGGTGTTTAGTCATGCCGACCACATGACCACGGAGATGTCTTCGGACAGCACTGGCTCTTTGGCTTTGAAACGGAGATGAGCACCGCCCCCTAGAGTCAGAAACGACTAGCACATATGTGCAAGGGAAACCTTTACCTTTACCTTATACTAGACAGGACAAGACAAGTGAACAGATGTAAAAGAAAGTTGACATATTTCTCTTTGAGATAGAAAATCAAATTTGGGAGTTAAAAATCTATGTAAGAGATAGAATCCTCCATACTGAACAAGGCACACCCTGATAATCTTTGTTTAGCGACTGCCTCAGACAATGACCATTCAGTTATGATAATGATGCAAAAATAACTTTGCAACCGAACCTCACATTTATAACCTTTGCAGGTCTGCAAAGCAAGGAAAGGTGAAGGAAGACCATAAACACAGTTGCAATTCATTTAACAGCCACTTCAATTAATGATCAGATTGTCTTTCCCAATGGTAGTCACTAAATGAGGATTACCTGTACAATTAAGTGCACATCTGTTAAGTCTTGCAGTGCTGCTCTGAAGATATATATTAGTTTTATTCCCAAAGGCAAAATATGTAAACACCATCACATTTTTAAAAAATAGTAATTGGAAAGAAGTGAGGTCTTATGTTGTCAGCACCTCATCTTTATTTTACAATTAAGGAGAGGTAAAATGAGGCAAGGCAAATCCAAATCTACAGTTGACTTTGTAAAAGACAACCCCGAGGAAATCAGATCTCCTTTTCTAGGATTGAATAAATCAGGTTCTTGGCATAAAAATTCTTCCAGAATCAGAATCAGAGCATTTTCTTCTCAGCGCTGAGCCATTCCATCCGCCATTCCTCGGGGCCCAGAAGGTTCCGATCAGTTACCCATCCGGCGGCTGTCAATCCTTGGAAGCACAGGGGAATCCGAAGTGAACAGAAAGGATTGGGTGTATCTATAAACATTGCACCCTAACCTTGGTTTCTACCTTTCTGGTCAAGGTACAAGGGACATTAAGTGTAAAACAGCACTAGAAATTCAAAACTGCAGTATTCCTCACTTACCCACTGCAATAGGAACCAACAACTCTGTTACTAAGCAATTATTGTAGACTGAAAAATCATGTGACTGCATTCTAGTTACAATGGGAGTTTGAAGTTTCTGGCTGTGGTCATTAAGTGAATCAACGCAGGTTGGTTAAGAACAATGTCACCCTGTGACTTGTAGCTTCTGCCAGCTTCTCCATTGACTTTGTCAGAAGCCAGAAGTCAAGGTTGCAAATGACATTCACATGAATCCAGGATGCTGCAATGCCTACAACTTTGAGGACCCGTCATAAGTCTCAACATTGAGCACTGTCATCACTTCAAATAGTCACCGAACAAAGGATGAGTAAGTAAGGATTATCTATGTCTGCTATAATTAAAAAAAACTGGGCAAAGTTGTGACTGACACTCAGAAGCACTTCCAGAGTGCTGGGAAAAGCTTTGAACAAGGATGATTTCACATCTTCAAAGAACTGTGGAATCTTTTGATGTTCTTTAGGACTGCATTAATCAGTGTTTCTCAACCTTGACCATTTAAAGATGTGTGGACTTCAACTTCTAGGATTCTGTAATGTGGAATTGTGGGGGTTGAAGTCCACACAACTTCAAGTGGCCAAGGCTGAGGAAAAACTGATCTAAATCTTCCTCTTTTAGTCAGCACTGGGGGGGCGTGGGTGGTGGCAGTGTGACCTCAGAGGTCATGAAAGAAACTTTTGTGGTTTCTGGAGGCTATTCTGATCACCTGCTAAAAGCTGATTGCATTATTTCCTGCTGTTTTGAGGTGGAAGATGCATGAGAGCTACTAAAACAGGCATTATCACAATTAAAGAGCAAATGCCCCCACCCCAAAAAATTCCCACCGATCATGGTTTCATCCACATGAATATGATCCACATGAATATGTTATGGGAGCGACGTGGCGCTCCCATGTGACCCCCCCCTCCTGCGCGAGCTGCACTGGCTCCCGGTGGTCTTCCAGGTGCGCTTCAAGGTTTTGGTTACCACCTTTAGAGCGCTCCATGGCATCGGACCAGGGTATTTACGAGACCGCCTTCTGCTACCAATAGCCTCTCACCGACCAGTACGCTCCCATAGAGAGGGGCTTCTCAGGGTGCTGTCGGCCAAACAATGTCGACTGGCGGCCCCCAGGGGGAGAGCCTTCTCTGTGGGGGCACCTACCATCTGGAACGAGCTCCACCCAGAGATACGGAGGATCCCGGACCTGCGCACGTTTCGTCGTGCTCTCAAAACTTTTTTCTTTCAGCAGGCTGGCCTGGCCTAACTCTCCTCTTTTAAATTTTTAATTCGTGATTTTATAAATTGGGTGTTTTAATCTGTGTTTCGGCCAAAATATTTAATAATTTTAAGGGATTTTTTAATATTTGTATTATCTGTATTTCATCTTGGCTGTTCACCGCGCTGAGTCCTTTGGGAGTAGGGCGGTATAGAAATTTGATTAATAATAAATAAATAAATAAATAAATCCTATCCTCTTGAGACCCCCAGCCCCCTCCCCTCCCCAATATGTGTGGTCCCTGGCCATCAATACAATACCAAGCCTGATTGAATTGTGCAACCGAACATCCAAAAAGGTTTTAAAGGTGTAGATGGGCTTCACAAATCTTTTGAAAAGTGAGATTTGAGTTTTCTTGGTGCTGAATGCAGGATTTAAACTAAACTCAGTTTCTAAATTTCCACCACGCACCTGCCAGGAATTTCGGAAATATCCTGTCTAAGAACTGATGTATTTTGGAATGTATCCTGGGATCCTCTTTACTGGATTCTGAAAAGCAGAAAAGGAACGGAAGATGGGATATGAGGAAGAGCCTGCACAGCATATTTATGCCAAACACAAAGGAGAAAAAGGGGAGGGGGGGAACCCTTGGAAAATGGAAGAGAAGCACTTCTCCTTGAGTCCCTGGCAGTATAAATGCAAAGGAAATTAATCCACAAACAAGGTACAGGTTCGGTTGCCAGAAACTGCACATTTTTTTCCAAATGCTGCAGGAGAGAGAATTAGAACATAAGGCAGATTTACAACCTAGTCTTCACCTTATGGCCATAATTTGAGCCCAACACTTGTATTGCTAAGCGAGACAGTAGTTAAGTGAGTTTTGCGTCATTTTACGACCTTTCTTGCCACAATTGTTAAGAAAATCATCGCAGCTGTTAAGTTAGTAAGACAGTTGTTAAGTGAATTTGGCTTCCCCATTGACTTTGCTTGTCAGAAGGTCTCAAAAAGTGATCATATGATCTCAGGACACTGCCACGGTCATAAATATGAATCAGTTGCCAAGCATCCAAATTTTGATCATGTGACCCTAGGAATGCTGCAATGGTTGTAAGTGTGAAAAACAGTCATATGTCACTTTTTTCAGTGCCGTTGTAACTTTGAACAGTCCTAAATGGATGGTTGTAAGCCAAGGGCTATCTGTTGCAATCATCCACTTCATCAAGGATCATCTATGATGAGCAACCTCCCTTTTCTCCCTGCCCCAAAGCCCTTGGAGTAGCCTAATGTAGATGGCCACCTCCATCTCCAAAATCTCTTCAGTTCTTCCATAAGCCCCACCTTCCTTGAAAAAGGTCTACCGGAGAGCAGCTGTGGAAGGAATATAATTGACCTGAGGAAGGTGGTGTAAACATCTTGGTTTCATTTGCAAGCCCCTTCTCAACTGATTAGATATGAGGAAGGCAGGTGAAAGCATCTCACTGGCAGAAGACTGTAGGGAAATATGAGGATGCACCTGGAGTGGGCCATTCAGTGCATCTAGCACAATGTACATGTGGTTGTTGCTTAATGGCCATTCAAAGTTACAGCAGACCCCCTCAAAAGTTCCAGGTTCCATTATGGTTGTTTGTCGAGGACTAGGTTACATAAATTATTAGGGGGGGGGAGCCCCCCTAAAAGTGATAAATCGCTAATAGATGGTTGCACTAGTGGAGTCGCCGCATGTAATGTGCTAGAATAACAGCCCCCAAAAGCTCCTGAGGAAGCCAATCCCAAAGTAATGGCCACTATAGCACTCAGCTTTCTGGCCGACCACAGAGATGTTGCAGAACCCCTGCTTATCTTCCCCCATTCCCCTCCACCCCCACCCCAGGTTCCTGCAGGCCTTCCCCTCCCTCATTGGGTTCTCACAGGCCTTAGGCCCGATTCCCACCTCATCAGACCAAACACCCTCCACCTCATCACTTACCTATTGAAGAGCTCTGGTGCTTTCTATAATGCTGGAACAGATGGCTTCATTGTGTGGCCTTGTGGTGTGATTCAGGAAGTGGCCACCAAGTTCCCAGCAGCTGCATGAAATTCTAATAGTTGGGAACATGGCAGCTGCTTCCAGAATCACACCACATGGCCAAGCGACAAAACGACCCGTTCTGCTTCGCTAACACAGCCTATTGTGTAGTCTAGCCTTACTAAACTGTTATTTCTCTGTGTCATATAATATATGTGGGTATATGCATAAATTTGTATTTATTTATTCTGCCATGTTTATGTAGTGTATATTGGAGGTGGTGACCCTTTGAGAGCTGTAGGCAATGAAATTTCATTTTCATGTATGCCGATTACTGTACATTCAATGAATAAAGTTATTCTATTCTATTATTCTATTACACAGCATTGAAGAAAGCTCCAGGCTCCATTACAGTTGTATGTCGAGGACTATGTCTAATGTGCTGGATTAAAAGGGCTACCAATCCTAATAGACAATCAGGATCACAAAGAGATGTTCTTCTCAGTCCCTTCTAATGAGACATGCCAGAAAAGGAACCTGAGATGTGAATTTCCAGTCTCATCAAATTATGAGGAGTCCTCTAGACCAGGGGTCCCCAATCTTTCAGACCTCAGGGACCACTAACTTCATAATTTTAAATCCCACCGGCCACTAATACGATCTACCTAATGACCTGTGGGCATGGCTAGGTGGTCATGTGACTGGGTGGGCGTAACCAACTCGATGCCACTCACGTCAAGGAGCACCTTGCCGGTCTCTCCTCACTCCTCCCCTGCCAGCCACTCCTCATCTCCCCATCCGGGCTCCTTAGGGCCCCAACAGGAAGCAGTTGTTGGAGCTAAGCAGCCACCATTAGAAGGAGCTGGCAAAACAGCTGGGTCAGTTCAAATTGGATCTGACCGAGAAGGAGGCTCAGTAGAAGCACCTCACTGAGGCCTAGGAGCAGAGGGAAAACCTGCAGGAGTGCAAGGCCAGGTGCTGGCACTTGGAAGCTCAGCGGGATGGAATGGTCAGCCAGTTCCAGCTCATGATGCAGTCCCACTGGAATAAGGTCCTCCGGCTCTTAGCCACCAGCGGCACTTCCCTCCAGCCTTTGCCCAAAGCCCCGCACCAGGAGGCTGAAGCAGACCCCAAGTCGGAATTTCTGTCCCCCTCCAACCCACACAAAAAGATCCCGAAGGGGGAGATTCTATGCAGCAACACAAACATTCATTACACGTATCTGTCCCAGGGGCTGTAGTTTGAGGACCCCTGATTTACTGCAATATAAAAAAATCCAAATAATTTTTCTGCGGACCACCAAAATTTTCTTGCGGACCACCAGCGGTCCACGGACCACCAGTTGGTGACCGCTGCTGTAGACTGTCCCCCCTCCCCCATTACAATTCGTTTCTTCCTCCACATTCACTTCCCAGGTCATCACCTTTACGTAACTGATGTTGCAAACTCAGGAGGGACCGTCTTTCCAAGGCACAGGTTTCCATATCTTGATACAGCAAGGCCTCTAGAAGAAGGGCGTGTGTATAGGCTTTAATCACATCCACACTGTCTGCTTGCCGATGGAGTAGGATAGAGATCACCCCTACAGAGGAGGGCAGGGGTCAATATATAGACAGGGTCCAATATATAAACTCCCCCTCCACACCCACAACAACTAATTATAGTGCACATTGCCTCACAGAGGAGCCATCAATCTTCAGCCAATCAATCACAACTGTGTGTTCTGGCTCATTGCACAACCCAACTGGTCCAGCTACTAAATTTAAATATTCTAACAAAGGTGAACTCAAAGGTTTCCACTCAACCGTTCCATGAGGTCGCTTGGATTAAGAAATGATGATTGGCCCAAAGTCGAGCAAACTAAGCAGTGGTGAAAGCCAATTTTTTTTACTACTGGTTCTGTGGGCTTGGCTTGGTGGGGGTGATATGGCTTGGTGGGCGTGGCCTGGTGGGTGTGGCAGGAGAAGGATACTGCAAAATCCCCATTCCCACCTCACTCCAGGGGAAGGATAGTGCAAAATCCCCATTTCCACCCCACTCTGGGGCCAGCCAGAGGTGGTATTTGCCGGTTCTCCAAACTACTCAAAATTTCCGCTACCGGTCCTCCAAAATGTTCAAACTTTCTGTTACCAGTTCTCCAGAACCTGTCAGAACCTGCTGGATTTCACCCCTGAAACTGACCAAGGGACTTTTCATTTCAGGTATCCCAGCTCAGGACTATCCGCCACATCACACCTGTCCTCTACGCCAAAAAGTTGTTCTATAAGAAGTTGTGGGGGTCGATTAACTTTGCAACTTCCTACACTATGATCACATACCCACCTGTTGGTTGTTTGAAGAAAATTAAGTAATTCGAAGAATTGCCTTCAAGAGCTTTCTGGAAGTCAGCAACACTGATGGGGATGGGAGAAAAAACATAGGAGTAACAAAAGTTAAAAAAGAATGTTTTGAAGTTGGGAAGAGACCCTTTTGTCAGTCTCCAAAAGAATATTTTTAGCAATGAGAAAAAAAGTTTGCATTCGCAGCGCCAGTTAAGAGTATACATCTTTCTTAGCATTTTTAAATTCCTATAAAATATGCTCTCTTTTCTGTATTTTTTCACAATATGCTCCCTTTGCTGTATTTTATCAAATCAAAGCTCAACTTTAAAAGGCTAAATCATGCGTTCAGTTTCCTCAGAATAATGGAGGAAACTCACCTGGAGGTCACTGTATGAAGAGGAGCCCCAAAAGTTATCTTGAGCTGCTGACGAAACCCTACATTGAAAAATTTGTATGAGTCACAACCCTTGATTCAAATAATGCTGACCAAACGTTTGGTGGAAGACTTGGCTAAGTTGTAGAGCATGAACTCCATCACTACCAAAATAGCTACTAACATGTACCCAGAAAATCTTTTACAGAACTTTCATGGTTTCCATCAAAAAGTAGAACATCTTGGATTTATCAGCCATGGCTGCAGAATGTCTGATGGCCACTAGAGGGCAGCAAGGTGGCACAAGAATCCTTACATTTTATTTATTAATTTCCTGTTGCCAATGCTGCAGATATATTCTCAGTGTACCCAGAGAAAGAAATATTTGCCTCTACCTGTGAGTTTGATCCTAGGTAGAGGCAGATATTTCTCTCTCAGGGCACACTGAGAATATATCTGCTGAATATAACTCTACATTAGTGACAGGGCATCCAGCCATTAAAACACTCTGCTAGCTCCATTCAGTTGCCCAGACTCCACCCCGCAAGGGATTATTGGATCGTTAAATGAAGATGATGATTTTCTGCCTATCTCCTACTGAAGGGACTCTAGGTGGCAGCTTTGCTGCCATCTAGTGATTCTTGCAGCTCAGACCTGGTGATCCTGACGTCCGGTTGATGTGGTAGCACTATCAGACGTGAAAAGCGGGGCTCTGCAAATTCGTGCTGAATCCCTTCGTTGGAAGGCCCCATAAGGGGCTAAAGTCACCCTGTAGGGGTGACAAAGAGTGGATGGGTGCCCTGCAGGTTGCGGAGAGCGGTTCTCCTGCTTGATCCAGGGCTAATTCGTTCTCATCTGACAACAAAGGGGAGAAGCAGCCATTATGGCTGCCGTGAAGCTGGGGTAGCCGAAGAAACAAAGACTGTGCTGGAGTGGTATGAATGAACAGTGACTGGAACTGGGTGAGGTGATTTTTTTTTTTTACCTAAAACCCACCATAAAGATAATAAACTCTGGAAAAGGGACTCTTTGAAGAGTTTGTTTAAGTGGCGAACAATTACAGAGAGAAAAATCATAGACCCGAAAGAAAAGAAAAGGATATTAAGAAGAGAGCGCAAAACCTTTAAAAACATGGAAAGATTGGATCTCTAATTTTTATTGGTAGTAATGCATTTTAAAATGCTGGAATTACTTGTCAGAATTTTGATTATTTGCTTGAATAAATACAAACTAAACTTGTTAGGATCTATGCAATGTTGAAGTTAAACAGAAGGCGCCATCTACTGGTGAATGGAATACATTATATTCCTACAACCCTGAAAAAAATACTGATAAGACAGAGGAGAAAGTGGAAATAACACCTGGAAGACTGCTGTGCTATCTATTGCTTTACACTTATCTATTCCATGACTTCTGGAGCTCTAATGTTAAAAATATGGAAGACATCTAAGTAAAGTGACTTTTAAATCAGGAGTTATGATTGAACTTATAGCGGGGACTTAAGGAGACATTTAGAAATTTTCCTGGATTATCTAAAAAGAGTTAAACTGATTAATTGTGGGACATAAAGAACCATATTACTGTATTACCAGAGGAGCAACATCAGGACTGAGTAAATGGTTTCCAGATCGACTTTCTGAGGGCAAAAATAATTGAAACTCTGGGGCAGTGATAGAACATTGACAGACTACTGAGTGATATTTGGATTTATCAAAAAAGAAGGCAAGATGTTCAGCAGGGGGAAATAAGTGGGTTGCAAAAAGTATTGGTGGCGATGTTTCAAAGCATTCACGATATTATGACAAGGAATCACAGGGAGATAATGGACTTAATGAATAACATAAATAGAAAGTGCTGCACAAGGGATAATGAATAACGATAAAAAAACCCAGGAAATAGACTTCCGGCGGTGATGTCTCCCGGAGTGAGTGAGGGTGCTTTTGACAGCTCCCGAAAACCCAGCTAATTCCTGATTTGGAGCCCCGTCAAGAGCATTTCCAGGCTCGGAGGGTCTGGAATATTAAAGGGGAAGGCTTGATTGTTGGGCGAGACCCTAGCGTTCTGGAGAAAGGAAGCCGGACTCCTTAAATCCTGCAGGGAAAAATCTGCCTTTAAGGCAGATCAGGAGCAATGACGGCCGCCTTAGTGAGGAAGCAAATAGTGGTATCAGCGGCAGTGATCGTTTGAAAGAAAGAAAAAAAGTAGAAAGTAAAAGTGACACTTAAGAAAAGATTTACGAGAAAGAGAGACGCAGGGAGCAGAGAAAGCGGCGATCGAGAGGGATTGCACTTAAAAGGAGGCAATTGAACGAAGACAGCAAAGACGGCGGAAGGAGTGAAAGCAGAAGCAACAAAGAAGATACAAAGTAACAACCAGGATTATTGTGACGGAAGACAGAAAAAGAGTAAATTAATACAGAGATTTTTGGAACTAAGATTAAAACTGATAACTTTCCTTTCTTTAACTGATAAAATTGGTGTAGGTGGACTGAGAATATTGGGAAGAAAACTGTGGACAGAAAATTAAAAATAGACAATTGAATTCGGTGGATTTATAAATACCAGGAAATACAGTGGAATGTAAATTGATGCAAGACTGAGAAGTGGGACAGATCGGATGGTGGAGTGAAGAGTGGCAAGGGTGAGAACAATAAAATGGACAAGCTGATGCAATAAGGTGTGGAAGAACCGGAAGAAGGCAGTCTTTAAAAAAAAAGGGAATTCTAAAGAGAGAAATTTGCTGTAAAAGATTGAACTTTGGTTTGAGTATTATTTTTGAAATTGTAACTGGATTATTTCTGAAATAGTAATTGTAATCGGAGAAGGGGAGCTTTCTGTTTTGCTGAAAAGGCTTTATTGTGATATAGAAAATTAAGAGTTGAAGGGGATATAGGAAGAAAAAAGGGAAAAAGGGATTGTTTAAAACAGGGTAAAATCTCAAAATAGAAAATAGTATTAGAAAACTGTAATTAAAATTCAAGGATTAAAGGATTTAAGGATTAAATAATAACAAATAGATAGCAATCATAAGTGAGAGATCCTAAGATTAGTTAAATTGAATTGTAACAGGTCAGAGTGATATCTAAATCTTTTTATGAAATTGTGGAGGAACCTGACAAGAAATTTAATAATGTCAACAACAACAATAACAAAAACTGGAAAAAAAACTGTATCAACCCCAACCTTGATGCCTTCCCCCACAACCCAGTGTTCGATTGAAAGTATGCTGGGAAAAGAAAAAGATAAGAAGGAACCAACGATGAGTACTATGCAGAACATGCTACAAATGATTCAAGAGACTTTAATGAAATCTCAAGAAAATATGGCAGATCACCAAGAGGAAGCTAGAAGGTTCCCTAAAGAAATTAAAAATGAAATAGGAGAATTAAAGGAAGATCTAAAGAGTATGAAGGAGAAGATGGAGAATATTCAACAAACAGTAGTAGAGAACGAGCAGAAAGTCAAAAAAATCTAAAGTAGACTTATTGGATCTGAAACTAGAAATGGCAGAACAGGATGCTCGACAAGCAAATAAAGAATTGGCTGATTCTATCGCATTTTTAGAAATGGAGAAAGCTTCCTTCTATTTGCGTTTTCAGAATGTGGCGGAAGAGAAAGAAGAAGATTTGGAAGAGACGATGAGCGAAATAATATCAGAACTAATACAAAGAGATAAAGAGGAGGTAATAGACTCGATAGACGAAACATTCCGAGTACATAATAACTATATTAGAAGACATTGATTGGCACAAGAAGTACACATTAGGTTCAGTAAAAAAGCAATGAGAGACGAAATATATAAAAAATCTAGAGAGGAAACAATATCTTATAAAGGAAAAGAAATTATTATATTAAAGCAAATTCCATGGAGAATACGAGACCAAAGAAAACAATATCATCAGCTGACATCCCAACTAATACAACACAAAGTGATGTTCCAATGGATTATGCCGGAAGGAATCCTTATCACATGGCAAGATAAAAACTCAAAATTGACTCAGTAGAAAAAAGCACAGGAGTTCTATAAAAATTATTTGGAAGACGAACAAGAAAATAAGGACGAATTAGAAAGTAAAAATCAAGAAGAGGAACAACAAGAAGAAATAGAAAGAGAGAAAGAATCAAAGAAAGCTCAAGAAAAAGAACGAGAAGAAAGAGAAGGAGCAAGAGGAAGAGTTAAGAGAGAGACAAGAAATACAAAAAAACAAGTACAGTAAGGGATGGAAGAAGCAAAATCATTATTTTCCGTGAACATTAATGGTTTAAATATACAGAAGAAAAGAACACAAACATTCTCAAAATTAAAGAAGTTAGACATAGATATTATTTGTTTACAAGAAATTAACATAAAAAAAGGTTTTCAAAAAGTATTGGAAAATAAGAAATTAGGGAAACTATATGTGTCTCTATCTCAACCAAAAAAAAGGGGATAGCAGTGTACATAAAAGAAAGAATAAAATCAGAATTAAAGTATGCGGATGATGAAGGCAGAATTTTGATTGTCAAATTAGATACCGAATCCAAACAATTTTTATTAGTTGTGATATATGCCCCAAATTCAAATCACCAAGAATATTATAAAAAATTACATAATAAAATAGTAGAACAGGAGATAGAAAACATTTGCATAATAGGAGACTATAATGCTATAGTGGATAATAAAAAAGACTATCATAGTGAGAAAAAAACCAAAAAAGAAAAAAGAAAGAAATATTACCAAAAGAGTTTTTCAGTATGACACAAGAATTAGGTTTAAAAGATACCTGGAGAGAAATCAATAAAGAAGAGAGGCACTACACTTATTATTCACACCCACGTCAGTCTTGGTCCAGGATCGACGTGGCCTGGATGTCAACACAATTGCAATTGGAAATTGAAAAAAATAGATATTGGATTAAACAAATGGGCAGACCATAACCCTATAATAATTCATTGGAAGGGACAAAAAAGATATAAAAGGTGGACTCTAAATCAATATGTATGTAAGGAGAAAGAATATAAATTGTGAATGGAAAAAGAAATAGAGATCTTTCTGAGCATAAATAAAAAAGAAGATACCTCCCCTCAAAATCTCTGGGATACTCTAAAAGCCTACATCAGAGGGGTCTCGATCGCATATATTGCAAATAAAAGGAGAGAGAAAAATCAACAACAAAATAAACTACAGGAAGAACTCCAAAATTAGAAGAAAAATTATATAAAGATCCCCAAAACCAGAAAATTAAAGAGGAAAGAAGAATAATTAAACATAAATTAAATTTTATTACACAGGAAGAAGTAGCCTGGAAAATAAAGACAGCGAAGCAAAATTATTTTGAGCATGCAAATAAAATAAGTAGGTGGTTAGCCTACAAACTGAAAAAAGAAAAGGACAAAAGAAATATACAATGCCTGAAAGATGAAGAAGGGGCAATTCGATACAGAAAAGAAGATAAAAAACGAATAATCTATAATTTCTTCTCTAAATTATATGCACAAGAAAAAAAAGAAGAATCGGAAATTAAAAAATACTTTGAGGAAATAAATGTTTGTAAATTGACAGACGAACAAAAAGAAATATTCAACAGACCAATTTCTGAAACTGAATTTGGGATGGCTATAAAAAGACAAAAAAATAATAAGACCCCAGGCCCTGATGGATTACCGATTGAACTATATAAAAATATAATAAACCAGATAGGAGGGCTAATGTTAGAAATGTTTAATGATGTATTATAGGAGACAAACATTCCGAAATCATGGTCAGAGACATTAATTACACTTATACACAAGGAAGATTCGGACCAACAACTAATACAAAACTACAGGCCTATCTCTCTATTGAATTCTGATTATAAAACATTTATGTCAATAATTGCGGAAAGACTAAAAACGATTCTGAATAAGCATATTCATCCGGACCAAAGCGGATTTTTACCAGGGCAAATTAAAAATAATACACGTATGATAGTTGACATATTAGAGTATTACAAAATACACTCGGAGAAGCAAATTTAACTGGTTTTCCTTGATGCACAAAAAGCTTTCGACAATTTGAACTGGAAATTTATGACAATGGAAGTGGAATTTGGACAAAAATTTGGAAAAATGGTTGAAAAAATATATTCAAAACAAACAGCAAAAGTAATGTTTAACCAAGACACGACGGAGAGATTTGAGATAACAAAGGGAGTAAGACAAGGTTGCCCACTCTCCCCATTTCTTTTTATCCTATCACTGGAACCACTCTTAAATAGAATCAGGGAAGATCAAGAGATTAAAGGTTTGAGAATTAAGAATGAGGAGTATAAAATTCAAGCCTATGCAGATGATATGGTTTTTATAATTGAAGACCCGCTAAAATCAGGCCCTAAATTGATTAGAAAAGTAGAGGAATTCGGTGAAGTAGTGGGTTTAAAAATAAATTAAAATAAATTAAAATTATTAACCAAAAACTTTACAAAAGAACAGGAGATAGAATTAGAAAAGACTATGGATATACAAACTACCAAAAAAATAAAATATTTGGGAATCTGGCTGACCGCAAGAAGCTCATCAATCAAAAAAGAAAATTATGATAAATTGGTTTGGCAAATTGAGAAGGATTTGGAAAATTGGACAAAGCTGCAAATTTCATGGACAGGAAGAGTGGAGGCAATAAAAATGAGTATCTTGCCCAAAATTTTATTCCTCTTCCAGGTTATACCGATTAGAATGGAAAAAAAATTTTTTTGATTTATTAAACAGAATGACTACAAAATTTATTTGGCAAGGGAAGAAAGCCAGAATTAGATTAAAAGTATTACAAGACACAAGAGACAGAGGAGGAATAGCCTTCCCGGACTGGAGACCTATTACCAAGCAGCTGGCTTAATCTGGATAAAGGAGTGGATAGAATTAGAAAATAAAAGACTTTTAATATTAGAGGGACACGATCTTCATGTAGGGTGGCACACATTTCTATGGGGGGGGGGGAACAGAACACACATGGATACTTCAAAAGACATGTAATTAGGAACTCACTCTTAACAATTTGGAACAAAATTAAGAAACATCACTATATAGGAGTACCATCCTGGATCTCTCCAGAAGAAATATTAGCACACCCAAATTTACTAGACTGGTCCAAAATTATTAGATATAGGGATATTGTTAATGAAGGGGGAACCCTAAAAGCAAAACACGAATTGGAACAGGACTTAGATAGAGAAACACAATGGTGATCATACCTACAAATAAGATCAAAATATATGGAGGAGAAGAAAACAGATCAAATTAGAGTAGAACTAACCAACCTTGATAAAATTCTGTTAAAGAATGAACAAAAATTAATTAGTAAAATATATAAATTTCTATTGCGGTATAAACCGGAAGAGGAAACCGTGAAAGAAACAATAATCAAATGGGCCCAAAATTTTAATTATTCTATAGAGTTGGAGAAGTGGGAGAAGATGTGGAAAACAAATATGAAATTAACAATCTCAACTGCATACAAGGAAAGCCAGATGAAAATGTTTCACAGATGGCATTTCCCACCAGTGAGAATAGCGAAAATGTTCCCCAGCAATTCTCCGAAATGCTGGAAATGTAAGATTAGTTATGGAACATTTTATCACCAATGGTGGACATGCCCAGTGGCAAAAAATTTTTGGAAGAAAATTAAAAATTGGATCAAAGAAATAATCCAGAATTCAGTAGAGGGAAAACCTGAACAGTTTCTATTAGGGATATCGATAGAAATAATTATACTATTATACTAAAGAAACACAGTATCTCATACTACATATATTGACAGCAGCACGTATTATATATGCGCAATACTGGAAGAAAGAAGAATTACCAGATAAGGATATAATTAAAAAGATTCTGGAATGTGCAGAACTGGATAAACTAACTAAAGAAAATCAGGGGAAAGAGGAAACCAAATACTATAAAGTGTGGAATAATTGGTATGAATGGCTGAAAAATAAAGAAATAAATTAAAGGAATGAAGAAGGGAAAGAGAAAAATGTGATAGATCAATTAACATGTTAGTAGAAATGAAATATAATAGGAGAAAAAGGCTGAATAAGTTAACATTATAATATCTGTAAATATTTATATATAGTAAGAAATGGATCATTGTTATGTAACTGAAAAAGAAATTAAGATTCTTGTATATGTTGTATGTCTATGTATGTCTTTTTAACTATGTTTAAAATAAAAAACTTTTAAAAAAAACCAGGTAATAGAGGAGAGAATGGAGAGAAGAGGAGAAAAGACAGACAGAATTAAATAAACAAACAAAACAAGAAGATAAGAGGGAGTAATAAATATATATAGGTATAAAGGTAATAAAAATGTATGAAGCAATTCAGGGAAAATACATGATAAAAGACCAAAAATGATGCTAGTTAAACACAAAGATATCTTTGAAAAGAAAATAGAGAGTTGGGCAGATCCTCTGGAGGCTTGGCAGCAAAAGATAGTAGAGATGGAAGAAATATGTAAGTTAAACAGGAAAGATGTAGAGATGAAGACCCAAGGGAGAAATTTAGGAGGCAAGTCAAAAAATGAATAAGAATTGAAATATTAAAACGGGCAAGAGATGATGGATAGAGGAAATGTTTTCTAACACAAGATTGGCTTTACTAGGAGCTAGAATAGAGGCAGACACAAGAAATAGGGGGAATATTATTATGCATATTTCTCATATAATATATTAAAAGTAATAGCTAGATATAAAGATTAGATGTTGAAAGATCGTGATACTATGTACGTTCTAGTGATACTGTTATTGTTATTAGAATGGACTAAAATGTTGAATAATTAAATAATGAAGGCTTATATTTTAATATAAATATGCATAAGAATATTATTACAATTACATAAATATGATTTAAATAGCGAATAATATTAATACAATCATTACTACTTGTATTCAAATGAATGATACTCAAATGCTTCACTGTTCATGTACTGATATTGATGTATAATAAAATAATAATAATAATAAAATAATAATAAAAAAGAACTGGTGGTCCTACCCTGTATTCCATGAGTTGGCAAATTCCCATCCATGTTTCTCATCTGAATTGCTCAATTGGCCCTATTGGCAAATGAGAACCTGAACAAAGCTATTCTTTCTTACTAAAATCAGATTGAGATAGACCTTCTCCGTCAGAATACCTCTTGCACTCCTAGGAGAAAAACTGGAAAACGATACACCCAGCTATCCATAATCATTTTTTTAAACCAGTCCATCACTAATGGCCACCGTAGTTCATATTATCAAGACAAACACTGGACATGGTACCGTAGGATGCCTGGGATCACGAGACCTCAGATACCTAGAAGAAGGGGCTCCTGAGGATTGATGACAGCAGGAGTAGGAACTTCTTCCCACTTCAAGTAATGCTGCAAGACCAGGTGGAGCCGGGCACGATTAAGGGTCTCCATGCAAACTGCCCGCACTGCTTGATAGTTGGCGTAGAGATGGAAGATGGTGAAGAGAGCATAGAAGGCATAGGTGAGGCTGAAGGAAAGAGAAGGAGAATTAAGAAGAAGATTTCTCATTCCAAATTTTATTTTTCCCATCTCTCCCCTTTCCCTCCCTTACCATTCCATTCCTTTAATCTTTGTATAGTATTCCTTCACAATCGCCCTGGTCTACATGCACACATACAGAGTGAATGAAAAAACAGTATTTAACTCACAGAAGATTGTCCACTACAATAGGGATCAGGAAAAGACTGAAGAGTAGGCCAGCTAAATTCACTAAGGTCTCCTACATGATGGAAGAAAGACGGGAGAAGGTTAGAAGGAAGTCGGTTTAGACTAGAGATCCTTCCTGATCTCCACTTGGCCAAGCCATGGGCCGGGTGTTGCTTCTTCGATCCCTCATCTCACCTGGCTTCCATCTTTGGCTGATACATCGGCCATGTTGTCCCGGCGGGCCTGGTGCATGGTGAGAGCTGCACGGGTGGCCCCTCCAGCTACACCCACAATGCACTGACATCAAGAGAAAAGAACAGAAGAGAAACATGATTGAAACTGTCATGGTCTCTACAATCATGCCACCAGGTTTGGTCTCCCCATTGGAGAGACCTCAGTCTGTTACTTTCACTCCACTTTAATACAGGTAGTCCTTGACTTAAAATAGTTCATTGGGTGACTGTTCAAAGTTACAACAGCACTGAAAAAGTTGACTTGTGACCATTTTTCACACTTATGATCTTTGGTCACATAATCAAAATTCGGATGCTTGCCAACTGGTTCATATTTATGAGTACAGTGTCCTGGGGTCATGTGACTTTCTGACAAGTAGAAAGGCAGATTCACTTAACAACCATGCTATTAAATTAACAATTATGGTGATTCACTTAACAATTGTGCAATTCAAGGTGCTGGTTGTCACCTTTAAAGCCCTTCATGTCTTGGGACGAGGTTATCTGAGGGACTGTCTCTTGCCAGTCACATCTACCCAACCCATTAGAGCAGGGAGGTAGGGAATGCTGTGGGTCCCATCCCTGAGGGAAATATGCCTGGTAGGACCCAGAAGAAGGGCCTTCTCCGTGGTGGCTCCCTCCCTCTGGAACATCATTCCCCCTAGAGATTAGAACAGCCCCCACTTTAATTCTCTTCCGGAAGGCGCTGAAGACCTGGTTCTGCCAGTGAGCCTGGGAAACCCAGAGTGGGATGGAGCCCATTAAATGTCTCGTGTGATCTGCTGTCGCCAGGGCGGGAGGTGGGGGGGTGATTTTATTACATTAATTTATTTGATTTTTTTTAGTTTAGTTTAATTTAATTTATTAGTTTTTACTGTTTTTAAATGTGGTTTTTATATTCTGGAAGCCGCCTTGAGTCGCCATGGGCGAATAGGCGGCAATGTAAATTTAATAAATAAATAAATGATGACAAGAAAAGTCGTAAAATGAGGCAAAACTAACTTAACAGATGTCTCACTTAGCAACATAAATTTTGGGCTCAGTTGTGGTCGTAACTCGAGGACTACCTGTATGGCCATCTCCCCTTCTCTGCACTCTTGCTTTTTTACCTTGAAAAAGCCACTAGTGCAGATAATAAGTGTGAAGCATGCTGGGAAAGCTGGCGCCACGATCTCCATGAAGATGGCCACGTCGTTGAGCACATCGGCAAAGAGTCTAAACGGTGGTATTGAAAAAGTCACTCCGTTAAGGTTAGAAATAAATCAGCCTACCCCAAGCGTACCTTTTGGGTACAATGCCCAGCTGTGATAATGTATGAATGTGTACCTAAGACTGGGCATGAGACCTATTAATTGGAAGTCAAAACTGAAGGAAGGGCCTTATCTCTCTTTACCTCCATTGCTTAGCATCACAATCCAGTTTGCTCCTGGAAGAAAAGAGAGAAAACAAGCAAGGAAGTAACAGGGTTTAAAGATCGAGTTCAGGTGTAGATTCACATCCCTACTTGTCTTTCAAATTTCCTGGATTGATTTAGGCCCATCACTAGGTCTCAGCCCACTTCCCAGGACAGAATGGGACAATACGCTATGGCCAACTCACCAAAACCAACTCACCACAGGACAATTGAACAGTTCAATTTAATTATTTAAAATAAATAAAACATTATCTTAAATTTTGTCATTCACATTTCATTTTGTCCCTTCCTTTGCATCCTTTCCACTCCACCATTTCTTTGATATTAGTGTAACTCTTGTTCCACAGCAAATTGTCCCACAGCAAGTTAGCCATTGGCCATGGCAAGTTGGCCGTGGAGAGTTGGGCATGGAGAGTTGGCCGCGAAGAGTTGGGCATCAAGAGTTGGTTGCAGAATTTATTTCAGACTCTGGAATAAAGGGATAATGAATGTCTGGAAATGTATATATAAATGTATATTAATATATCAATGTATATTGAACTTGTGAATGTAATATTGGTTTATTAAATACATACATAGTTGGTTAGGAAGTAAAATACTGTATACTTGATATATATTGAAGTAGGAGATATGTAAATTTGTATATAGAGCAAGGAATAGATTACTTATTAACTTAATTTTGACGTAAATGTTAGAAACCAGAGACGTTGAGCAATGTCCATTGTTTTACTTTTAAAACTAATAAAATAATATTTTTTTAAAAAGGAGTTAGCTGTGGAGAGTTGGGCATTAAGAGCTGGTTGTAGAGAGTTCTTAGGGAGAAAAGTAGGCAATATATAAAATATGAATAGCCCCATCTAAGGTGAGGAGAGAAGGACTCACCCCTTGCTCCAAGCGAAAGCAATTCGGCCCAACATTCCTGTTCCATCTGTCACAGAAGAGACATAGTTTGCATGGCAACACAGGGTAGAGTAAGAAAATACAAAAATAACACAAAGAGAGAATTCTGAGAAAGTTTGAGTTTGAGATCTACTACCATGGCTAGTAGATCTAGAGGAGAAGAAAGTAGTAGGGGCTTAAACTCATGATAACTGAGACCTACATGGCTTCAGGGACTCCAGATCCAACTAAAACAGATTCTATGTAAGCAGTTTAATTGTTTATACACCACAGCTTTACTTTATGCTTGCTCAAACTTAAGGAACAATTATTTGAAGAAATTGAGATCTAATCAGCCATCATGCCCAGCACACTTATCAATAGAGACTAGCATAACGTTTCACGAATATTAGTCTTTTTATTATTTTTAAGTTGCTGTGAGCCATCCAGTCATATCTATGAAAATATAACAGTAGAAATCAACTTTATCAATAAATTAATCATCATGTAAATGGCACAATAACCTCAGAGTTGCTTCAAAAGTGAGATGGGTGGCAGATAAATTTATTAAATAAATCATTTGTGTGTTACTTGCCTGACAGGCAAATTATGCATTAACTGACTTCTGGATTTAACATTCGTGAATGATTAACTATTTACTATTTCAAATATTGTTACCAAATTCAAGCTGAATTCACAAGTTGACTGCCTCATAATGAAATATGAATTTTGGTTTAGCAATGATGCAAACCAGACAGTTGTTTGTAAAGCAAACGGGTTTAGTGTTTTATGTGAACAAAGTTGTCTGTAAAACAATGTTTAGGACTTAGGTTAGGTTGGCCTGCTCAAAAGTAAACGAGAGTTAAAATAAACCATGATGAATGTTGGCGAACCCACACTAATTTTGTGTTGGGTTTAGAAATCAAGGAAGAATGATTAAGCTGCTACAACCTTTGGAGCCTATTACATTAAGTGAAAATTAGAAGAGACAAAGAGATGAAGTTCTCCAGGGCAGTGGTCACCAACTGGTGGTCCGTGGACCACTGGTGGTCTGTGAGAAAATTTTGGTGGTCCGCAGAAAAATTATTTGCATTTTTTTATATTGCACTAAATCAGGGATCCTCAAACTACGCCTCCTGGACCGGATACATGCAATGAACATTTCTGTTGCTGCAGAAAGTCTCCCCCTTTCGGGTCTTTTTGTGTGGGTCAGAGGAGGGCAGAAATTCCAACTTGGGGTCTGCTTCAACCTCCTGGTGGGGGGCTTTGGGTGAAGGCTGGAAGGAAGCACCACTGGTGGCGAAGAGCCAGAGGGCCTTGTTCCAGTGGGATTGCATCATGGCCTGGAACTGGCTGACCATCTCAGCCCGCTGAGCCTCCAGGCACCGGTACCTGGCCTTGCACTCCTGCAGGTCTTCCCTCTGCTTGGAAACCCTATGCTCCTAGGCCTCAGTGAGGTGCTTCTGCTGAGCCTCCTTCTCGGTCAGATCCAATTTGAACTGAGCTGTTTTGCCAAATTTTTGTCGTGGTGGCTGCTTAGCTCCAACAGCTGCTTCCTGTTGGGGCCCTAAAGAGTCCGGACAGGGAGGTGAGTAGCAGCAAGTAGAGGCTGGCAAGGCGCCCCTCGATGTGAGTGACATCGAGTTGGCCACGCCCACCCAGTCACATGATCACCTAGCCACGCCCACCCAGCTGGTCATTAGGCAGATCATATTAGTGGTCCACGGGATTTAAAATTATGAATTTAGTGGTCCCTGAGGTCCGAAAGGTTGGTGACCCCTGCTCCAGGGGATCTGGTGGCACAAGAAATAGGACTTGTCAATGGAAGTAGCGCCGGAATACAAGTGAGGAAGCTGGTGGAGAAAGGCCTTCCACCAAGAGAAGAAAAGACCCAGAGAAATTCCAGCAAGGCCCACCTTTCAGAATCCAAGTGACAGTGGCAGCTGCGACGGTGGAGGTCTCATCCCCGACCCCCACTCCCTTCAGCACTGCCTGGGTGGCCAGTGTCCCTGTGATGCTGCTTGCAAAAGCCTGAGGGTTGATGGGGGGATGAAGAGGAAGAGAGAAAGGGCAACAGTTAGAATAAGATAAGGAATCCTCTGGGCCCAGTTCCAGCACCATAATAACAGTTGAAAGGAATCTTCTAGTCCAACCCCATGCTCAGGCAGGGGACCCTATATCACTGCAGACAAATGACTGTCCAATCTTTTTAAAAACGTCCAGTATTGGAGCTCCCACAACTTCTGGAGGCAAGTTGTTCCACTGATTAATTGTTCTAACTTTTAGGAAATTTCTCCTTAGTTCTAGGTTGCTTCTATCTTTGATTAGTTTCCATTCATTACTTCTTGTTCTGCCTTCATCACCTGGGTTCCTCTTAGCTCACAGACCCCAAAACCCACACCCCCAAAGATTAGTCAAAATAAGTCCTCTGTTCAAAAACTTGCTCATCTACAGATACCAAAACAGAGAAGTTGCCTTTCTGGGTGAGAAGAGAAGGAAGGTTTGAGCTTTCCCATGGAAAGAGAGCTGCCCTGCCCCTCAGAAAGGAACCTCCCTCACCTGGATGGTGTCCCAGAACTGGTAGGCGAGGTAGTCCGTGCTCACACTTTCAGGATAACCTTGGGGCAGGAAGATGGACTGCAGGAAAGAGAAAGGATGAGCATCTTCTTCCTTCTGAGCCACACAATTTCTGCTCCTGGATCCCCTATCATTTTTGCCAATCTGCTTGCATTCTCTTCCCCAATGAAGTGCTCTGCTGATTAATTTCTTCTGCTTGACCAAAGTATCTCTGGCTCACCTGCCATTGGCCCAGCAAGGATCCTGTCAAATCTTACAGCCAATGAAAGTCCAAGAGGAAAGGGTGTCTCAGCAATCAGCATCCATTTATTAGATAAGGAGGACCCGTGATCATATTCATCAAGTTCTTAAAATTACTTAAATCACAGTTTGTGTAACCTGAGAACCTGGGACTCCTGAAAGCCATAATTGCCACTCCCAGACCTCTACAAAAAAGATGTGAAATTGTAAGATTCTTTGGAAACATAATGAGAAAATTATTAAAAGTATGGCTGGAGAGGATCAGACCTGCTATATTTATTTTTAATTAAGTCGGTCATCATTTGTGTATCCCTTACTGTCAAGCAGCTCCATAAACTTTAAGCTAAAGTTTCCAAACCTTGGCAACTTTAAAGACGTGCGGACTTCAACTCCCAGAATTCCCCAGCCAGCATGGAAGTTGAAGTCTGCACATCTTAAAAGTTGACAAGGTTGGGAAACTCTGCTCTAAACCTTTTTTAAAACCAGAACAGCTTACTTACCATGAAGATATGATGGAGTGAACGAAAGTGCCAGGCTTCAGAGGCATCTGCCACAGAGCTTAGCTTTCCATTAGGGAGGACCTGGTAACGCCGAGCTGATCGAGAGCCGTAACTTTCCATGCAAAGTGTCTGAATTTCCAAGTCAGTCATGACTGGGCCTGAACTTTTTAAAATATGCAGCATAAATCAAGTGCCACTATAACTCAGAAAAAAATTTGATCATTGTCTAACTAGATGATGCAAGAAAATAGTTTTCAAGATGCTCTCCAAAAAGGAGGCTAACTTCTCAAGCAATCTGCAAAGTTTGCATAAATGTACATCTACATATCTACATACCCACATATATAGTATGCATGTGTCTATGTATTTGTTTTTATTTACTCTCTAATATTGGTTAGGCATACAGAGTCAGAGATGGGTGGTCATATAAATCAAATAAAGAAATAAAAGTTAAAATCTTCCCACTTGTGGTCAATCCACCCAAAAAGTTTAATTGGATAATTTTCTACCTATTTAATTATATAAACGGTATGTTGGTGGTTGCACCATTTTTTTTTACAACAGGGAAGGAGAAGTGGAAAGTAAGTAGAACAGTGTTTCTAAATCTCAGCAATCTTAAGATTTGTGGACTTCAACTCCCAGAATTCCCTAACCTGGCTGGAGAATTCTGGGAGTTGAAGTCCACATATTTTAAAGTTGCTGAGGTTGAACAGCATGTGCTTATGTTGTTGCATCCTTTACCATACTGTCAGAAAACTGCTAGAAGTTGTACTTTAGCCACCCCCTAAAAGAACACATTTAGTCTTTTGGCAGTGCACAAACAAGGGGCCAATGCGTCAATTACCATATTCAACACAAACAGGCTTTTCCAGCATCTGGTTTTTAAACACACATATTCTCTGCCAACAAGCATACTTTTGTGAAAACTCAGGCTTTAACTACCCTCCCCAACTCCAATGTGGTGGGAAGATGCCTCATCTTTCAAATATGCCGACTCTGTAATCTGCTTAGAGAGGGTTGTAAAGCACTATAAAGCGATATGTAAGTCTTAAGTGCTGCTGCTATCTTGAGAACTGCATTTAAATAAAAACATATTAATGACGGGTTTCTAAAGGTTTCATCCAGCCATTCTAAATCTATTTACCTTGAAGACCCACTGACTTCAATAAGACTGTTATTGAAAAGGAAGGAAAGGAAGGAGAAGGAAGAAAAAATATAAAGAAATGCACAATAAAATGCATTCAGATGCATTGCATGCAACAGCTTCCTCCACCCCCTAAAGACCGTGAAAGCTTTACACATTAAATGTCGGTTTCCCAAAGAATCGTGAAAGACAAGAGGCAAACAAACAAAAAAAACCTTTGCAGAAGTGATGAAGACGACAGTCCGCGTCTTTCCTGTCTGGATTTGAGTTGGGAACCCAGAAGAAGTGAAAATATAGCCAAGCAATCCAGTTCCCTTCCCCTAAGGAGACATTTAGCCACGTCTTTAATGCAGAAATGTAACCGTAAAAGCGTCTCTAGCTGGCTGTAGACGCTGCTTTCGTCCAGCGGGGGGAACCAGAGAAAACGGCCAGATTGCAAACCCGGCTTCATTTAAGTGTCGCACCTTCTTCTTTTAGAGATCTCTGGGAAATGTAGTCTTCTGCCTGTCTGCTTAGTTTAGTTTAAAAATTTGAATTATGACTTCACATCTCTATATAGAATTCTTTTGTTTTCATAGCTACAGATGTGTCTGATGGATCAAGATTGAGAGTAAAAGAAAACTCTTTGAGCCCCTGCGAGAGGTCTCTCTCTGTTTTCTATCATTCAAAGTGTCGTTCGTGGTAGCGATTACTTCGGCTCGTCGTATTTCCGAGTTGGGAGCACTTTCCATTCGCCAGGACCTTTGTATTTTCCACAAGGACAGAGTGGTCCTCCGCCTTGATCCTGCCTTCCTGCCCAAAGTGAATTCCCTTTTTCATCGAGCCCAAGAACTGGTCCTCCCTAACTTCTGTCCCCGTCCTTCCCACCACCTCGAAAGATCCTGGCATACTCTGGACGCACGACGAGCTCTCCGCATCTATATTTCCCGGACTAGTTCATTCCGTAAATCGGAAGCACTATTTGTCTCGTTCCAGTCGAACTCGATTGGTACACGGGTCACGAGTTCTACCCTGGGCCGTTGGTGTTAAAATGTATGCATTAAACATCCCTAATAGATGCTTACAGTAAAGAAAAGCATTGCCACTTCACGTTTAAAATATTTGAGACTGCTTTTAAGGGTCTCAGAAATTCACAGAAAAAATAAGTCTAATATAAAAAAATCTAACATCAATTAAGTGAGCCCAGATCTGATATGAAACCAATTTGTTTCAAGTCCTGTAAAATTGAGCTTGAAATCATATGCTCATTTTTTTAAAAAAATGTTGATCCTGCTATTCAGGCACCTTTTTCTGGTGATTTTTTTTTTTACCAGCTCCAAATTGTATCCTCATCTCTAACATTTAAGCTAACAGGCTGCTGTAGTAATAGTGCTGGAGTTGGAGAAGACCCTGCTCAAATCCCCCTTCATCCATGAAAATTCATTGGGCGACATTGACAAAAATTTGTGTTTTTGTTTTTTGTAACCAGATCTATCTCACAGGGTTATTGTGGCAGGGAAAAATAGGAAATGAAGGCAAATATGTGTGTCCCAGGCTCATGTTGAAGTATCCAATCTGGGTCAGTCACTGAGGCCAGAGATTTAGTCTTCTGAGCTTGTGGACTAGTGCTGGAGACCATCCTCAGGGAACTTTTAACAGAATGTCTAACATAAATAAGTTCCCCGAGGATGGGCTCTAGCATGAATCCAAAAACTACACCTTTGATCCTGAGAACTGATCCTGATTGGATCCTGCAAAAATAGAGAGTGCTGTGTATGCAGCATGCAGCTCCTGAACAAATATAAGCTATATATAAAATAAATAATTCCAGTCATTTTATAACAGAGTGCTAGTAAACCCTGTTCTTCCCTATCTCATGTTTTGCATTGGTTTTCTAAACACCTACACGCACATGCACACAAACAAAATCCTTTAAATCACTATCCCTCTCCTTGGTCTTCAGGAATGGCTCCCTTTGAATTCCACCCCCTCCCCCATCTTTCTCTCACCCAAATAGCTAGTTTGTGTTTAGGAGGGGCTCTTGCCCCCAGAAATTGCAGTCAAAGATATCCATGCCTCTAAATGTTCTTCCAGAACAGGATGCCCCCTCTCCCCACTTCTGAGGCAAAGATAGCTCCTGGCCTTCTGGGTTTGATAAAAATTAGTCCTAGAAGGATTTGGGGATTGTATGCTGTAGAGCTTCTTGTGCCAGGAATATTAATTACAACTTTTGTATTGAATGTCTGTCATTGCACGTTAATAAATTACTGCATTGGCTGCAAATACTGCTCTTCAGCTCCACATAGAGTTGTCTTAGCTAAAGCTCTTTATAGCTTTGTAAATAATTAATTCTCCAATGAGCAGAACACGGTGCACAAATAAAACACAGACACTTAGGTTTAGATGAAGAGAGGAATTTTGTAGGAGCAGACCACCTCTGCGTTTATTTTCAAAACACTCAAGCAGTTCTTGAAATTCTTAAAAAATATAATGCCATTTCCAAGACGGGGCATTAGAACTGCATGACTGCTGCCAGCAGCCAGCGATGGAGGATTCTGTGTTAAATCTGCAAAACGCTAGAAGAGAAACCACCGAATCCCAAGGAAAATTGAAGAGCCTCTTCAGGAAAGGCTACCAGAAAGGAGAGAGCAACGGAGCCAAGTTCTTCAGGATCCGGGGGGAAAGGATCCAATGTTATCCAAAAGAAAACCCACGAGCCGCCTCAGGAAGGGCACCCAGCAGGGAGAAGAGAGGGGAGGGGGTACTTTGAAGGTAAGGGATCCACTTGAACAAAGGACCTCAGGAGTACCTTAGATGGCTATCAAGGGATCCCCAGACTGGAGCCAACAAAAAAGCTGGAACAAGTCCTGGTGGATCTAAGGCTGGTCTTGAACAGGTAAGTCACGAGACGCCCTCCCCACCCTCACTCCACCCCGAGGAGTCCATAGATGGGAGGGCAAGTTAGGGGAAATGGGGCCAGCCGCTCAGCTGATGTAGATCCGGTGGAAGTCATTGGCACCAAAGGCAGCATTGCACTTGGGGCATTTCCGCTGGCGGGTGTCGTAGCGGGTCTTGACGCAGTCGAAGCAGAAGACGTGGAAGCATTTGGTGAGGACGGCGTCCTTCTTGCGTGTGTTGCAGCACGGACAAGTGAGCTTGGCCTGGGGATATGCACAGACCAGAGGGGTGAGGGGCTGAGGCATTATTGGGAAGAGCTGCCCTTCCTTTGCAAGCCTCCCCCTCCTCCTGCTCTTCTCACCTTGTACTCCTTGATCTCCTCCTGTAGGATCTCATCGGCATCTGCATATACCTCCACTTTGCGCTGTTTTTCCAGTTTGCGCCGAAGGCGAGATATATCCTCCTGGGAGGAAGAGCAGGCACATCAATGAGTCCAGAGAGGGAGTGGGGAGAGAGGTTTGTTTGCTCGTTTGTTTACTAAATTTATACACTGGCCATCTCAATCAAGCGACTGGATGGCATATAAAACAAGGATAAACAAACATTACATTAGAAAAACATTAAAAACATAAACCTGGGTAAACTAGGAACCTGAAGATGAATGGATAAGCTCCAGCATTCCCCATTTTTCCCTTCTACCTGAGCTCTCTTGAGGTTGAAAGACTCCTTCTCCTTGGCTGCCCTGTTCTCCGCCATGAAGGTCTGGATCTCCTTCAGTTTAGCCTGCACATGCTCCAGCTGCACCTTCAGGTCTTCTGCCAACTGGGCTGCCTCCACCGCCTGCAAGCAGAATATGGCGTCCAAACCAACATCTAAAGGCTGCTCCCCCATCAACCCTGGTTGTGTAGGCTCCCTGTGAGATCCCATCAATCAAAATCCGATTTCCAGGGCTGTCCCTTTTTCTACTTCCTAAAAATTAATTGGGGTTTTTTATTGGGAGTAATGGGCGCCTCCAAGGCCCACACTCACTTCCTAACTTGGCAGTCTCCATATTGGCTCCTCACCTTCCTCTTGTTGAGCTCCAGGGCCTGGCTGCGTAAAGTGAGCTCTTTCTCCACAGTGCCGAGATTGCCCTGCAGGACTCGTTCCTTCTCCTCCAGCTTCTGCACGACTAAGAGCTGGGTGTCCACCTGAGGAAAGCAACCAGATCCTCAAGGGTCAGCACATGTTCCAGGAGCCACCCGCATTTAGTGGCCTCTTCCTTCAAAGCTCTGATCCTCCCAGCCTGCTGGTGGTGGGGTGACTGCCTACCTGAGACTTGAGGGCCAACACCTGCTCGGCCAGTTCTTCCTTCTCCTCCCGCAGGAGCTTGTGAATCTGGTTGGATTTGATGCGCTCCGACATCAGCTTGAAGTTGGCATCATCCTTCTCACGCAGCTGCTGGTTTAGACGCATGTTCTGCTCTTGCATGTCCTCAAAAGCTTGGCCTGTCACATCCATCTCTGACAGAAGAGCCTCTTCCTCCTGATCCACAGAAAAAAATACTGGAATGAACTGGAATTTACCCAGCCCAGCCCTTACTAATAACCACATTTTGTCTTTCTCATGCTAGAATGTCTAGAGGGACTTCTGGATTGATCTGCTTCTAACAGATGCTAACCACCAGACCCTGAGCCTCATCTTCTATCAAGGTGGTCCTTCACAGCAACCAGTGGGCCAAGTCAACAGTGAGTTTATGGTTATGGAAAAGTTGCAACCGCCCTCAGAGGCTCTCTAGGCTCCTCCTGCTCTGGGGCATTGCTTCTGGCAGCACAAATTCCTCCCGGAAAGAAATACCTGCTTGGTTGCTGCCAGTTTTTTCTGCAGATGCTCAATTTGTTCCTCAGCCATCTTGATCTTGCGTAAGGCATCCTCATCAGCCATTTTCTTACTCTCTTTCTTCTCTTTCTCCTCCAGTTCACGGATCCTCACCCGCAGCTCTTCCACCTGCCCAAAGAAATGAGTCAAAGAAAGCAGGGGCAACTCCTTCGCTTGGGACCCCTCAGGGAAGAATCCTTCCAAGTATATCTGCAGGTCAAACTAACAAACCCAATTACAAATGCCATAGAGTTATTTATCAAAAGCACAACCCTTCTTTCGGGAGCAGGTTC